GTCTTTTAATTTTTCGTCTACCGCGTGTTTTTTCTTATCTTTATATATTTAATATGTGGTTAACCTCGTGATTCATTATTTATCTGTTGTGCTGTATACATTTCTCGATTTTAGTTTATCACGTGTGTATTTTTACTTTTTGCCAGTCAAAATTTAAGTATGTACATCAATTGCTACTAGTTATACAGGGTGTTCCTTAATGATGTGCGAATATTTAAGGGTGTGAATCTTCATGAAAAATTAATGTTAGTTTGCTTTATAAACTATGGTACAAAAGTGTTTCCTTACAAAAACTCGCAGTGTTGAAGTTTTAGGAAAAAAGGGAAATCAATATTTTCAAAACCGCTTCAGATATTTCACTGATATTTAGTACGTAGTGAAAGTTAATAAAGATGCATATTTTTCAATGCAAAAATAATTTTTAGCTTTAACAGTAGCGTGCGTACGGGTATTGACTTCAATATTTTTTAAGAAAAAAACTTGTACGCCAATGGTTTTTTGCCATATATATATTTTTTAATTCCCCATCTAATTTAAAACAAATGATCTCTCTTGAATTGTTTTTCTTCGATGCGCCATTTTTGAGTAAAAAAAATAAAAACCGTTCAATTGTCTAACTTGCAAAATTATTAATTTAACTGGAAAAATTAAACATATTAGGGGTAATGAACAATAACAACTGACAACATAAACATAAAAAATTGAGGTAAGTCTGTCCGACAACTCGTCCCGGCAAGAAAAATGGGCCAATAAAGTGGTTGCCAATAATTCTTGCTCATACGTTAACCGAAAATTGGTATTAGAAATGGGTTTCGGTTACGGCATAGGGATTTTCTTCTGCCTACACATGATTATTGTGGAAATTCTGAATGGCATTTCGATAGCTTCGTCCGTGAACAGAATCATTGATTCAAATTGCGGATTTTGTGTAATTTTTTTAAGATGCCACTAACAAAAGGTCACACGCCTTGGAAAATCAATTGGAAGTAATGCCTATACTCTTAAAATATGGTAAGGATATAACAAAAAATCCCCTAAATTTCTCCAAACAATTTGATGGCAAATATTTAAGTGTCTAGCGATCTTCCTCGTACTCGTTTCAGGATGTTCTTCGACTTCGTGCAGCACTGCTTCCTCAATTTCAGGTGTTCTCACACTTAGAGGTCTACCTTCAGATGTTCCTTTTCGGACAGAACCAGTTCCAACAAGACGACGATGAATATTAGAAAAGGTTCGACTATCTGGCATAGCACGATCGGGATATCTCTGGTCATACATTCCGTCTGACTTGTTCACCATTACCGTCGGCAAGGCAATATACGTAATACATTTCCGGCTTTTCTGGATTTGAATAATTCACCATTATTAACAAGATTGTAGAAACCAACTAATAAAAAAGATGTCACAGCGAACAGATTTGAATAACAGAAACTTGTCAGATGTCAAAAGCCAGATATTCCAGAGCAACTACTAGATATTTATTGCTAAATTGAATCCTTCAATTATTACATTGATTTTCTCGGACAATAGAACGGTTTTTATTTTTTTACTCAAAAATGGCGCATCGAAGGAAAGCAACTAAAGATAAATCATTTGTTTCAAACTGAACGGGGAATTCAAAAATAATTTTTATTTGGCAAAAAACCATTGGCGTACCGAAGTATCGAAGTCAATACCCGTACGCACGCCACTGTTAAAGCTAAACATTATTTTTGCATTGAAAAATATGCAACTTTATTAACGTTCACTACGTACTAAATATCAGTGAAATATCTGGAGCGGTTGTGAAAATATTAATTAATTTCCATTTTTTTTCCTAAAAGTTCAACACCCCGAGTTTTTGTAGGGAAACATTTTTGGACCATGGTTTATAAAGCAAACTAACACTAATTTTTCATGTAGATTCACACCCTTAAATATTCGCATATCATTAAGGACCACTCTGCATATGTTATGTATCTTCGTCAAAATAAATACCACTACTACTGCAACCATGTCGATAAAATGGTTTTTGTGATATAATCTGATAGGTGTACCGAAGTGTTCGACTGGCTTGGTGCAGAGAACGGCTGAACTTGGACCTCGAATGAAATACCTTTGTCTTGTGTGATTCATCCAGATTCTGTTTGGGGATGCATGATGGCCATGCAAGGGTAATAAACGAGATTCTTAATTTTCTATGAAAGCGCATGTGCACCACACTGTTCTAATTATGGTATTGGATGTATTGCTTGAAGAAGCAGATCGCCTTTGGTGTTCATCAGAGACAACATGACAGCCATGCCTTTTTTTCAGAAGATGAAGGAGCCATATGCTTTAGAGATTTTTTCGCGAAATCCCGTAGTGAACCGGAGCGGGAACAGATGGAATTTCCCCTTCCTCTCGAAGTTTTGACAGTTTCAAGTTACACCGGGAGTGGTGAGATCACACAACTTGCGCAAAATGTTTGCTTTAAGCTCCTTGATAAACTTAGCCGCCTTGTTTGAATCTGCAATAAAAAGACCGATCGTTTCTTGTGCAATGTACATATATATCAATAAAATCAATCATTTGATAAGACAAGTGCGGCTCATCTATCTTCGATGACCTTCTCCATCGTCAGTTAAAATCAGGTAGACGTGTTCCTCCATTTATGATTTAATAATTTAACTCAATTTTTGGCACTGCGAAAACAAATTTTCAATTGAGATGTCTGTTTTTTAAATGAAATTGACATAAGACATGTCACCCGCTAGTACCTCACAGACGTTAGGCGGGTACCCGTACCACGTGATTTTTTGAAATTCGGACATCACATCCGTCTTCCCCTATTCCCGTTCTTCGAGAAAATTTGAGTATCGGTTCCTGGTAGTGCACTGTGCTACACCGTGGACTCGCGAAAAAATCCTTTTTGTCTTATATACGGATACTCACCAAGCCCACAAGATAATGCACGACCACATATAGGCAGAGCTACGTTAGTCCATTTTGAAGACAATCAGGTTATTTTGTTGCCTTGGCCCCTAGATCTACCGATTTTTTTCACCCATTAAACTCCTCTGGGACATTATGTGAAAAATATTACTCAATTCACTCCATCCTCCACACACTCCAGCGGCACTTCGGCGCGAGGTATAAGTAGTCTGGGACCTCAAGAGGAAATCAATTATCTGATCAGAACTATGCCCAGACATATTTTTGGATCCATAAGAGGCGCAACAAATTACTTATTTTTTTAATTTTTTTTTCAACTGTTGGATTTTTCCGGAATTTTGATCAATTACATACCTAACCCTAAGAGATAAGTATATAAATTGTTTTGTAGTGAAGTCATTATTACTGGGTTATTTTCTGTCCGTCAGTATATAAAAATCAGCCATCGGAGTTGAGTCTTTTCACTTAACATTTCTCACCTGGTACCAATAAATCGGCCTTCTACCCGACTCAGCAGGTAAGCAGGCGTTCAATGTACATTTAAACGCTACTCAATGCCCCCGGTTTTGTCTGCCAGAAAACAAGCAATATGAACCTTGAACCTTGATTCATCAGAGAGATTAATTATCACGTTTTGTGAGACGCATCTGAGTAATTATCAGGATCTACATACTGGCAAAACTATATTACACCTGATGAGGTTTCGGTGTGAAAGTCAGATTCAGTATTCTTGACGCCGTCTCTGTTTTTACGTATACCGGGTGTTTAAAATTCGACTCTCACCATTCGGATCTCGAAAACTGTAAGGCAACTGAGAAAAATAACTTGGAAAGTTTCACAACTCCGCAAAAATCTTAAAGTAATTAACAGTTCCAATAAAAAAGATACTCGGCTTACTATTTTCAAACAAATTAGTTTAATAGTGTATTATCTTTCAATAAGCTAGTTAAATTCTTTTTAAGTAGGTCTTGAAAGTAAATATTTGTTCTATTAAACAAAATATTTTGTTCAGGCCTAAAAGATCGTCTTTTTCTTAGACAGGCGAAAACTCAGTCCGCCATGTTTGGCCTGTATTAATGTGTTCTGACATCATACTATTTGTAAACAGCTGCTGACAGCAGCATAATCTGTCAAACTTTCAAACATATAAACATGACTTCTACTAGTTTAAATCAAAAATATAGTTATTACTGTTTTTACATCGTCTGAGAATGTAAAAACACATCAATAAAGACCCTAGGAAAACTACGGATTAAAGTACCCAGAGAAATAAATACATATACACAATACTGTGTTTTGTTTGGAGCATAGCTATGTTCGGGATATATCTTACATTTTACTGTGCAGATTTTATCCTCTCGTTTAAGTTGGACGTAACTTACGGATTCATCACCGTACGATTCCCTTGCAGATGTGTAAGAAAAAATACAGGCATAATATTAGATACAATTATTCAGAGGTTATAACGCAAGAGCTTAATTTTGGATGACTTCTGAAAAGAAAGATTATGTAAATGTATTACTTATTCTTTGCTATTTATGCCTATAATTATATCAGATAGACTGCACTTACATACAAGTCTTGATGTTAATCAGCTCAGTGGAGTAGAAATCTGGGTTGAATTCAAAAAAATTACAAACCATCAAAGTGTGAATTTTCAGCAAAAGTGCTTTCTGCTTTTACGAAACCAACGTCAATAAAACGGAAAAACGATAACTGTTTACGTTGATTAGGAGTTTGTTAGAAATATTTAAAGAAGACAACCTTAGACCACGAGGGACATAAGGATGACGTTATTTTGTTTACAATTGGAATGACGTCACATCATTTCCGGTAATGTTTTGACTGCTTCGTATTAAACATGAAAAATATACTTTTTTAAATTGGACCAATATATCCATCTTGTTCCAGTCAAGTAGCATTTTGAACCGGTTCCAGAAAATTCAGTTTACTTAAACAAACTATTTTGGTTATTTAAATTGTTTAAAAAAACCCATTTCGGGTAATTAGAGTTTTCTAAAAAATTTGTACGATTACGAACTGTGTAACGAGGAAGATGATTTTACAAACTCCTTTCATTTTTTCAGGTATACAAAGTGAGAACTTTCAATCCCAGCAAAAACCTGTACTTCAACGTGGTGACTGTAGGCGACAACCGCACCATGACAGTTGACGGCGGTGGTGTGAACGCAACTGTCATTCAAGCTGACTTGGCAGCTACCAACGGTATCATCCATATCATTGACAGAGTTTTGGGGGTACCATACACCACAGTGCTTGATAAGCTTAGGACAGACCCCATGCTTCAGTAAGTTGATTCAGAACAAATATCGGACTTAACCTTTGATAGTAGAATCTAATATGACCTTGAGGAGCTGTAGATGGGAGGCACACAACTGTAAGACCTTGATATGACCTTGCATAATTTTGTTTACTACACTGCAGTCCGAAAGGTATTTACTCCTCCTATTTCTTTAGACAACAAAAAGCATTCATTGCTGTCATCAGATAGACCACTATTTAAGCTTTATTATGATGTATCAGTTATTGTAAATAAATGCTTTTTGTGAAAAAATAGCAGACCTCATTTTTGGAATTACTCTCGTAACCAGGGTTGCGACGATTTAAATCAAATGATTCAAATCGTGAAGTCGCAAAGCAAATAACTGAAATACCTCATCAGGCAATTCAAAAAAAGGAAGATGATCTATATAAAACTAAGGGTTTACATAATATATTATCTAAGTTCAAAAGCATAATCTAAATCTAAAAACTAATCATCATCAACGTAAATATTCATAAATTAAGCTAATGAAAACCCAGATTACAACAATTAAAACAGTTTTTAGTTTATAATATTACCTACATGAAAAAGGAATAACACATAAAAATTATTAACCGGTACATAAATGGTATTACAATATGTACAGCTAACAAAGACATTAGGTACTCAGGCTAACCCACAAAAAACATAAACACAAAATAATATATGTTTAGGAAGTCAATTGTAATACTTATTACTAATCTAATATAGTGAAACTAATTTAGCTGCTTTTGAGGTACCCAAGCGATTTAGAAATTTTCAATTCCCACCAATTTAAAGCTTTTGATGTTTGGAAAATTTCTTCATCAAACAAGAACAACTTTTTGCCGTAAAATCGTGATTTTTTGCAACACTGTTCGTAAATGATCATTTTCATTTTACATTGCCCTTATAACTTAATGAATTCCAATATTCTTCTCAAGAACCTTCTTTAGAAACCTCATTCTAATATTTATTTTAACATTAATTTTCAGGAATACTTACCGATTAGGCCAATACCAGAAATTCAACGAACAGCTAAACAACCCTGATAAGAGATTCACGTATTTCGTACCAAGAGATAAGGCGTGGGAGAATGCCAAGGTTGCTTTTCCTTCAGCAATCAAGAAACTATTCATGCCTGAATTCATGCACATATATGTAAGTATGGTCAGGTTTAATGTTAAATGCGCATGCTCCACGTTCTATAAAAAAGTATAAACATTCGTGTAATGTGTTTGTAACCCGCCAGTAGTCCTCATTAACCTTGGGTGTCTTCTGCATTATAGTAGGGGTCTCGACTGCAAATTTTTGGGTACATCATCGCGAGACGATATGACACAATGAATACTAGTTATATCTTACGTATTTTGATGCAAAACAGCAAACTTGGCAAGTTTTGATACTTGTTAACATTTCATATCAGTACGGGGTATAATCAAAAGGGCATTTCACATAAAACGGACAACAAGAAAAGTGAGGTTTTAAAATTCGTTCATATTGAACCTGTTTGAACATCTAGTAGAATATCTAGTTGAAAGAGAAACCGAGTTTTTTTTGTGGTATTCGGATTAATCAAGGAGATACGTATTTTTATGTACGTACTAGTCGTCCTGATATGACGTTAGGCGCTTGTTTAGGTCGACTGATTTCCAAGATATTGCATTAATAGGTTACATTTTCACACACACAATTATAGTTTATTTTAATGCGATATTCTTAAATATTGAAATTATAATGAAAAACGGTGCAAACCTGGAAGTAAACGCTTCATCTCATAATTTTGGGTAACTTTTACCATGTTTATCCTTGTTTTTATCCCAAAATATAGCCTAAAGTGTGTTTAAAATACAGTAGAAGTAGTTAAAATGGGAAGCACCTGCACTAAGGAAAGATATTTTTATGTACACATGACGCACTGAGTATGACGTTAGGCGCTTGTTTGTCGGCTAGTCTGCATATAAGGCATACGTAGTAAAACTACATTAATGTTAAAAGGACTATTTTATTTTATAATCTTTTCAATTTCACATCGCTTGCTAATTCTAGTTCTTCTAACCTCAAGGGCTTGTTCCCTGGGATTGTGCTAGCTGGATTAAATGGGGGTTCCAGGAAAATTTCTTCGAGCAGCAAAATATCCTTGTTTCAAACATGATATATATATAGGGTTGTCCGATAGGGACGCAGGAAAGTAAACGACAATTTGACATAGACGCCATCTTTGTTTTCTGTCACCGTCATGTCATTTTGTTAGTTGAGTGTTTACCATTGATCGCTATGGAGTCGTATTCGATTGAAGACCGCATTAAAGTTATTCAAGAGCACTACAAAAATGGTGCAAAAATAAAAAACACGTTTCGCGCGCTTCGTAAGCATTTCGGTCGCAACAACCGCCCAAACGAAACAACCATCGGTCGTCTGGTGCGTAAATTCGAGGCAACAGGTTCTGTGGCAAATCTGCCAAGCTTTGGCCGGCCAAGGAGCGTTCGCACACCGGAAAATATTGCTGTTGTGAAGGAGAGTGTGAGAGACGATCCGAAACAATCAACAACGCGTCGATCCCAAGAATTGGGCATTTCGAGAACCAGTTTGCTCCGCATTCTCCACAAGGATTTGAATGTACACGCCTACAAGATCCAATTGACGCAAGAGCTGCGTCGGGCGACCATTTTTCGCGCCGAACGTTCTCAGATTGTCTGCTTGAACACCGCCAAATTGATGCCAATTTTTCATCAAAAATCATGTTCACCTTGAATGGGACGGTAAACAAGCAAAACTGCCGCATCTGGGCGAACGAAGATCCCCGTGAGTATCAAGACCAGCCGATGCATTCTCAAAAAGTGACTGGTCATGGCCACCAAGATCGTGCGATTTGACTCCCTTGGACTTCTTTTTATGGGGATATTTGAAAAGCAAAGTCTACGTCAACAAACCAGCCACCCTCCAAGAACTCAAAAACAACATCATTGCTGAGATAAATGCCATAGAACCGACCATGTTGCAAAATGTCATTGAAAATTTCGACCATCGCGTGGACGTCTGTAAATCCAGTCGTGGTGAACATTTGAGCGATATTATTTTTCATGCATAAATGGTATAAATGAACCTTCAAAATAAAGTACCCAACTTGATTTGAATATCAATATTTCTTGTTTTAATATGCGTTTACTTTCCTGCGTCCGTTTTAGACAACCCCATATAATTTTGCATGTAGGTGTTTTCTTACAAGATGCCTGTATAATAGTTTTTGATAAGTGTAGAAACTGGAAAAATATTTTTGAAACTTGTATCACGACAACAATTTCTGTAAAATATTCAAAATCAATATGAGAGCTTAAAAATGCTCATAAAGTAGCATATTATTTCGAAATCTAACACCAGTCGACATAAGCGAGCGCCTAACGTCATACTCAGAGCGACATGTATGTATACTAAGTGACATATAAATCCGAACACCCAGTTTAAATGGTTTTATTTTAATAAAATTTGGTATAGGTACTTAATGAAGCATAATAAGTAAATGATAAAAATTTCAAAATGATTGCACTGCTTTAAAGCCCTTTGACCTTTAATAATGTGTGGATGCACCCTGATGTACTACGCATTCTCCAACGCGCCTAGGCATGCTTCTGATCAGGTGGTCAATGTCCTCCTGTGGTATCTCATTACAGGCAACCACCAACTCCTCTCGAAGTGCTTCTAGAGTCTGAGGAGGACATTGCAAATTGAGCAATCTCCTACCCATCATATCCCACACGTGCTCAATTGGGGATAAGTCGGGAGATCTTGGTGGCCATGGTAACAATGTGACATCATTATGTTGAAAGAAGTCTATTGTGACTCTTGCAACATGTGGTCGGGCATTATCTTGTTGGAAAGTTGGATCTGCCAGGGTGTCAAGATAGGGTAAAAGATAGAGTTCTAGAACTTCGTGGATATAACGTTCATGTTACCTCTGATGAAGATTAAAGGTGACCTGGAACCATAAGCTATAGCACCACTCAAGGCGATTACGTCGGTGTTCTCGAGTTAAAGGGAGGACCCAGTGTGGCCGGTATGAAAACAAGCCAAAACTTCTCATTTGTCGGTAAACACTTCGCATGCCAAAAGGTCTTCCGTGTTCTGCAAACCATTCATTTGCAATGGACCTGGTAGTGGGGAAACGGTCCCTTAAGGCCAATAATCTTAGGCGGCGATCTTCACGGTCTGTTGTTCTACGGCGGCGTCCAGTGCCCCTTGCTCTTTGCGTACGGCCTTCTCGAAGCCATGCCTGACAACACCTAATCACAGTGTCTACACTTCTTTGCACTCTAACTGCAATTGCCCGAAAAGAAAGGCCAGCTTCCTGAAGTCCCACTATACGGCCCCTATCAAACTCACTAAGTTGACGAAATCGTACAGGTCTCCGTACTCTAGGCATCGTAACCGATCGTAAAGGATGTCAAGAACCAAAATCCGCCAACGTTGATTCTTTACTGCGGCTGAAATATTCATTTTTAGAGCGTTAGTGAATTAAAAAAAGCAGTATAAAAACCGGAATGTCCAACTGATAAGGCTGAAAATTTTTTCACTTGTTATTTACAGTAAGATAAATACATTCACCAACTTTTATTAAAATAAAACCATTTAAACTGGGTGTTCGGATTTATATGTCACTTAGTATATGTACATGAAAGTATCTCTCCTTTATATAATATGTTAGAGTAAAAAAAACAGAATAAAAATGGTAGAAATTACCCAAATTATGGTTTGAAATATTTACTTCCGGCTTAGCTCAACTTTTTTTTCATTTTCAAATTTGATTTTTCAATCAAAATGTACAGAAAATCCCAATTTCAAATACGACTTCTGTTTCGAAGCCCGTAACTTAACAAATGAACGTGCCACGAAAAAAAATCGTGTCTTCTCTTTCACGACTATTAGATATTCAAACAGTTGCAATATGAATTAACTTTCAAATCTCACTTTTGATCGCAGTCCGCTTCACGTGAAATGCTTCCAAAGCTTTGCGGTCCTTGTTTTGGAAATTCGCTCTTAGATGAATAGACATTCTGCCAAGAATCCGCGCGTTTCGCTCATAGGTGGCTCTGCCTGTACCGAATCGGTGTTGCCAAACTGACACAAAATGTTTAGAAAACTCTACGTTTGTTATTTGTCATACAATCTTTCATGATGCTGGACGAGTAAGGTACATTTATCAGTGATCTAGCAAACTCCAGTGCTGCGTGGTCTGGGATCTTCTTCTCTATACCGGGTGTTTGTTGTTGTAAGAGATAGGACGTCGCTTAAATGGGGGCAAAGTTGCGTATTTACGTCACAAACAAAATGCCGCTTAGAAAGTTTAGAAATTCAAAGTTCTTCCGAACAGCGACGAAAAAAACGAATTTCAAACGTTTCAATTTTTCCTGACTATTTGTAATGGGATGTCAAATAAATTGAACACCAGGATGCCACTTCTTCTCCTCTACAATATGGTAGAATTAGAATTTCAATATGACATTTCGCATCTTGTCCTCCAGCATCAGTTTTATTTTTTCTTAGGGACGCCATATTGGATTTTTGCACGGATGAATAGAGTTTTTAAACCTGATTCCAAAAATGTCCTACATTAACCATATCAAACATTTGTTATTTCAAAAAAAAACATTTCCCAGGTAGGCCGTAAAATTATCACATCATTTGTTTCATGTACCAGATTTATCTAAAATCATTTTTATTTTTTCCTGGCTCAATTGAGATGACATTTCAAAATAAATTGCATGTAGTTATTGCCTCTTTTTCTCCGCTACAAGACGGCGCAGTCAAATTTTCAATTCGACTTCCATCGCCAACTTTGTTTTTCATAAAGAGGCTATATTGGAATTTTGTACATTTAAATGGAGTTTTCAGTCCCAAATTCAGTGATGTGTTTCCTTAGCTGGCCATGAACAGAGTTCGGAAAACCGAAGAGAAGGGAAAGAAGCCAACCAGTGAACCATGTACAGAGAAGAGTCACGCTTTGGCTACAAAATAACGAAGAACGTTCTTAACATCTGATTATTCATGATTTTAGTTATTAGCATCAATATGATTTTCATTATGGTGTTCACGTTCACCATACGTTTTTATGTACGTACGAGCATGTCATCCTATTACTATTTAACTTTTAAGGTCCTACGCGGAATATTGCACGATTTCCTTAGCAACGAAAGAGAAATGTAAGTTTGCAGTTCTTTTTTGAACCTCACATTGCGTATTCGACAAATGGTCGGTCTAGTTGACAACAAAACCTAGTCGGATTATTTTCCCACAAATGCGAAGCTTTCACCTCAGAAGTGTTCATTGAAAAAATCAATTTTTAATTTTGTTACACAGGGCGTAGCGACACTGGAACGCCATCTGGTGGTCTCTGATGTACCATATACGATGGAGCGCATCAAGCAATGGTCCAACGAGACACATCGTGGACCCTTCGACTCCATTGCCAGCACTTCTAGTAGAAGAGAAGTAGAATTGCCAACTGTCAGAGGATCACTTAGAATCGCCGTAGAAGAGAGGAAAGATAATAGTAAGTATACAAATAAAGAAGTTACATATTTTAACGTGACAGGGGCGGGGGCGTTCTCGAATATAGTGACGTTGACCATGACATTCAAGGTCAAGTCAAAATTTCCAAAAGAACCTCTCATTTTTCTAATGAAGATGGAAGTTTTACGCCCGGATGTGACCTCGGCCTCAATGTCTAGCTTAAATCTTTTTTGGGGTCAAGCTCACCTTCGGTCGTGAAATTTTCTGCTTTTCTCAATTCCAGTATAAGAGTGAGAGGTTTTCTTTAGAAAAATTGAAGCTCATGGTCAAGGTCACCTTTGAGTGATCCCCACAAATCTCACAATTGTGCTATCAAACATTTTTGCAACAGCAAATTGTTTTTGATGTCTTGATTTGACTGTGAAATGGCCTTGAAGGTAATGGTCAAGGTCATATCCAATGTGATGTTTGGACGTAGCATTTGCTCCTCTTTTCAATTCGGATGTTAAAAAGGAGTGGTTCCAATTGAAAATATTTACTTCACCTTGAAGGGCCTTATCAAGGTTATTGTCAAGGTCATAATTGTTTTGACCCTTCAAAACCCTACGACTTTTGTAACTTTTTTAGAATGCGCAGATTTTGAATTATTTAGGTGTGGGATTAAAACGGTACATTTTGTATAATGGCATAAACTCTTACACTATTCTTTAATGAGAAAATGGAGTCTGTTTCAATCAGTTCTAATTGCGATCCTTCTTAAAACAAAACTATTACATAATTACATATCTAGTTCTTAAATAGGCGAATTGTAGAACTCGCACTAGGTATAATAAGGTTTACATATTAAAAAAGTGTTTAAGTTCACGGCTGAATATCTTTTAAATGGTTAAATCCTTTGATAGCATCAAGGACACATATGTAAATTTTCAGACCATTATAAATTTTATTGAGTATATCACAAGTGTTGTTTTATGTACTACTCAGTTAAGATCTTGTTTTCGTCTAATATTGTAACTTATATTCAATACGCTTTTTTAAGTAATTTTGGGAACAGATACACCAAAAGGGAATGCATATATCAATCTACTTTCAAATAAGGCAGAGTAGCTTATAGCTGTGCTTTTCGCTACGTTGTAACTAATTGTTCTTATAATGAACGAAATCTTAGCTAGTTGAGTAAACAATTTTTCTACATGACTAGTAAAATCTAATTTATGATCAGTAGTCAATTTCAATGTGTTGATGGTGTCTGTTTTGTGTATCAATTCATTATTTAAATTTATAAAATCAAGGGAGCGCTTGATTGTCATATATTTTTTCTTATCGGCATTGAAAGTCAAGTAATTGTTGTCACACCATTTTTTATTGATTGTATATCACTAACAATCTATCTATTATTTTTCAGCATTTATAATCCACTGGAAGGGCGAGAAGATCCCAGTCTTCAAACCAAATGTCGAATGCACCAACGGAATCATCCATGTCATCGACTTTCCCTTCTTGAAAGAAGGCGACATCCAGATCAGCTCTGCTAACAGCCTCCGTTTCATGTCACCCACGTTGACGCTTTGCACTTTCGCATTTGTCAAATTCGTCCTGCTTTAATGCACCGCTCTGTCTTAGATATATCTAGATATGTGCGTTTAGGTATATTTATCAAATTTCACCATGCGAGCGTTTACAAGTGAGCGTACAGGGTTTTTGTAAAGATGCGTGCAAGGGTGGTTAATCCAGAAAATAGGTAAACAGATTTGGATACGAGATGGATATGTGTAAAACAGAATCAGAAGATTTTTCGGCACTGAAAATTATGATGCTTGGTATCTAAAAGATTCAATTACAAAAATGAACAGTATTCTCGTTACCTGGAAGATATTTTAATTTCTAAAGGTTGGTAGATAATTACATGGAGACCCAAAAATACATTTTTTAAATGGAAAGATCTACATTTTACTGCACATTGGGTTATGCCCTTTCAAACGAAGCAGTTTGATGTAACATAACATAGGGTTACATTTCTGAGTTATTGGATCTATCGAAACACACAATTTTCACAGGTCTCACCTCCGCAACTGTTCTACTACTGAATTTTTCGTCAGAAGAATTTCATGACCTCAAATATTCATATCTACTTGCTGTTTCAATTTTTTCGATAGACTATATACAGTGTGGTCAAAAACGCAAAATGTACAATTTCTCGAAATGTTCAAATCGAACACCCTGTATATTTTCACACTTTTTGATTCCCCACTTAACAAGTCTTATTTCAATATAAGGTTTATGGGAGTTTGTACGAATTGTTTTGGAGTTACAGTTAACCTTTTTGTAAATCGGATATCAAGGTAAATGAGAAAAGGGAATTCTGCTTAAAATAAAAATAGCATTCAATCAGTGACAACAGATAGTTAAAATTTGTGTATTTTCACCCTGTGTTTTTAATGACTCGATAACCAGTTGTCGAACCTCAATAAACCTCATATCATAAAAGAGATGTGAAAAACCGTATCAACAAATGTGAAAATATACGGTGTTCCATTTGAAAATTTTGAGAAATCGTTCATTTTGCGTTCTTGGCCACCCTGTATAAGCTCAGCAAATAATTGAAAAAGTAGATAAGAGAAAATATGGGAAAATGACGAAAAATTCAGTTGCCAGCTGTCAAGGCTCAGTGTTTTGTTCGATAGATTACCTAACATCTCAATATTTTGGTAATAGAATTGCTTCGTTTGGGAGCGCCTACCGAATCTGCAATTAAATGTAGGTCTTTCTAAAAATGTGCTTGAGTCACCATGTAATTATGGATCACCCTGCAGAAATTAAAATATTTTCTAGGTAAGGAGCATGCTGTGGTTACAATTTGTATGATCAACCTTTTTAAATACATTCGTAATAACAGAGTTATCTGCATAGCCCACACAAGAAAGTCCCCAGGATGTACTTCCAACTTTCGTCAACATTTTTCTTCTTAATTAAGTACTTGATCGTTCTTTAAAAGCCCAAGATTCGCAATTTTGGCATTTTAATTTACTTTTTCATAATTGTAACACGTCTTACCTCAAATCTATAATAAAAGGCACTGAGTTAAAACAAATATATAAAAATAAAAAGTTGAACCAAATGAATACACAATTATAATGAGACTTCAATATTTTTTTGTTAGTGCAGCTGTGCAACATGTTTATTTTTATATATGCTTTTGGTCTCACAATTAGTAGAAGTAGCAAGTGTTGGGATCATGTGCTCATATAAAAATGCTTATGTTAAATATTCGATAATGTGTCAGTTTCCTACAAAATTACCATCCCCTGTGCTTTTAAAGAACAATCACGTGATAAGAAAGGGATGTTGATTACAAACTCCACATTTGCAAATAACTTATGTTTTGCATTATTTTCATGGCTGAAAGACCCTGTTATGGACATTAATTCTTCTTGCTCCAACCTAGAAGGACTAGCTCTAAGCTGTAACTTCTTACGTAGCATCCAACCACTATTCTTTTTATGCGACCGTTGCTGTCAAATCATAGGACTATACACAATCTATGTACTACTGTTATTTTCTGGATTATGTAGCGGTTGTGGTTGTAATTCGAGTCTATGTCTAGCCTAATCCTGAAAAGTAGGAAACCCGCTGAGGTAACAGACTGAATTTCAATAAAACAATATATCTCTCTATTAAATTAGATTACTCTCGGAGATGTGACTATTCGAGCAAAATAGTTACAACTCAAACCGTTCTCAGTTATTAACGTACGGGTTTTTGGAAAGATTCCTTTGCGGTACGCGCCCACTGCTACATCAAAAAAGCAATTTTGCTTCATTGGAATTCTGAATAGGCTAGTTCATATTTTTTTAAGTAGGTCTTAAATATTTGATATTTGTTGTACCAGAATAAATACTATATTTTTACCTTAATTCGAAAATATATTTTTCTTCTGGCTCATAAATTAATGTGCTCTGGCGTCACACCATTTTTGTAAACAGCAGCTAATAGCAACATAACTCCTCAAACGTTTACACATATCAACGTGACAAAAATATATAGGTACCCTATTTTACGAGTATCCATCACGGTACAATGACAGTTGATTATCTCAAAATTCCCGATATCGGCACGATACACATAATTCTGACAGATCCGTCCACGCCAGGTAGTCAGAGCCCTATTTTGTTTGGGTTTTTTGTATGCTACGGATTCATTTTGTACTTGCTAGCAGCTCTTTTATTTAAAAAGTTCTTCTGCATACAAAAAACAAAACGTCACAGACAAGTTTTGCCAGATTTAAAACCGATTAAAATGTCACTTGCTGATCAGCTGTTCACCTCAGTAGACGCCAAAGCGTGATGGATACTCATCAACTAGGGTATAGTAATTATCGCTATTGTATCGTCCGAGAATGCAAAAATACATCGATAAGGACCCCAGGAAAGCTGTGGGTTAAGGGTGCCCAAGGAAATAAATGTAAAGCAGCATTGCTGTGTATTGCGTCGAGCATACCTTATATTTGGGACATATTTTACATTTGACTGTGCAAGAATACAATATTAGTCAAAATTATTCAGAGATTCTGACGCATGAACTTATTTTTGAATGACTTTTGAAAAGGAAGATTGTGTAAGTGTATTACTTATTCTTTCTTTTTATGTCTATCATTATATCAAATGCACTGTACTTACATCCAAGTCTTGAAGTTCCTCAGTTCAGCAGAGGAGAAATCTGGGTTGACGGCAAAAAAATTACCAACCATCGATGTGTCCATTTTCGGCAAACGATAAAACTATAACATTTTACGTTAATCATCAGTTTTGTAGGAATATTTGAAGAAGACAATGTTACTCCACAAGTGACATACGGATTACGTTTCTTTATTTACAGTCTGTACGACGTCACATCACGGTCGATAGTGTTTTCGCCGTTTGATATTAAAAATAAATATATACTTTTTAAACTAATTAATAACCATTAAATTAACATACATACTCATCTTACACTTTTAAAAATTGAGATCGATATATTTCGTTATCTTAAGCCAAATACTGTAAGAAATACAAATTTTTTTCATGAAATTAGATATGAGTCAAGTATCCTATTGCAAGTTACTGCTGATGTGCTGATATAGTGGACGCTCTACTGGAAATTAATTCGTTTGATCCACAAACATTTGTGCGTACTATGTAGCCAATAGACCCGTACCTTTATAATCACCTCGACCTTGCCCTGCCGCTCTTTATACTAACTTTCTATTGATATGCATAGTATTCATAGTAGATTGGAAAGTATCTTGATTTTATACTCAACTTATTGATATTTTTGAAACTATTTGGACTCCTTTTTAATATTACCGACACAAATACGGTTCAAAGCAATACATCCATCCAACAAATCAACGAATAACATGGCGCCTGTTGGACAAGGTTTGTAGAACCGTAGACATCAAAATATAACTACGACGGTTGATTCCCATACTTCGCCCCTAACCCACAGATTTGAACTTTTTTATTTTTTTGCAAAGTCCTACCAACATCAACACACTTTGTTCAATCAAGGCTCCAAGATTTTAGTCGCATTCCGGAAAAGTTTAAGATGACGTCAATATTCTTTAAGCTTTGGAAGTCATCTAAAATTACTGAGAGCCAGATCTGACAAGTATGGGGTGGGTAATCTACCAATCCAAAGCATTATTGGTGTACAGAAGTAATAGCACTGCACAAGGTATGGCTGACTGGGAGGATTATCCTTGAGAAGCGATACACCACTTTTTAACATCCTCCAAGGTTTCTCGTTACGGTTGCCCATCTCTTTTTACAAGTGGGAAGTAGGTATTACGAGCACTTACTGTCTGATTTTTTAAATTGTGTATAAAATTGTCCCATTTATGATAATTTCTTGTTTTTTGTAAATATTTCTTCAGCTCCAGTCTTAACATAGGCGCGAGATCTAGGAACTATGTTATAACTGGATAAAGGGATGTCACATATTGTTGCTCATTTCCTACATATTTTTTGAAGAGTTTTCCTTCTAAAGCAGAACGATCTTTCGAGGTAATGTTGATAAATGACATAAAGAAGTTTTAGAATAAGCCATCAAACCAAAAACTGACCTTTTGATCAGTTTTCGTGTTATAGTGAAAATTGATATACATTTTAATAAAACCACGCCTCTCGCTGACCTCGCCGTCAGCGAAGGATAAGTGGCGACAGGTAAGACAGGTGCGTGGTTTGCTGATTATTCACTAAGCTGTTTCGCGTACGATTTACTCCATGCCTTGGTGACATTATAAAAATGCTGCTGTGGCAGGTGGGATGACTGTCTGTCAGCTATATTTTTTGTCATCACAAACGTGGGTGGTCCTAATAGGCGTGTTCAGAGAACAGTGAGCAAGGCGTTCATTTAATAAAGAATTTGATCCTTGTTCTGCCACCTTGCAAATATAGTTTCTCAATCAGCTAGGATGCTGGAAGTAAAAAACATGTCGCAATTTTCAGATTGAGTTTGCATGAGGGAACTTTATAATACCTACTACACGTCCATCTTGTAACACTGCACTCTTTTAATGTTTTGGTCAGTCGATATCATTGTGAGTGGTCCACAGCCATGTGGGTTTTCACACGGTGACGTTATCATAAGAAACTTCACCTCAATATTTTGGTAAACCTCAGTGGGTATCAGATCCCTTCTTTGCAGAGATTTTATTACGGCGCTTCAATCAGAAGGATCCACCTCTGTTAAAATCTTTCACAAATATACCAATGGACGAATAACGTCAAAACAGTTTGACATATAAACTTGATTTTTGCTAAGGGGTCTTATTTTACTGACAACAAGAAAGAGGTAATGGACCGATTAAATTTGATGCATGAGTCAAGCTTCTAATCTACTATGAATCATATTTTGTCTTCACAGGTTTCTTATGATGACTGTGAATATAGTTTCTATTTCTTCATCAAAATACGTGTTGTGTTTTTACCATGTGTTGTATATAGAGCATTCAGATTATTACCTATAGAAGTAGGATATGCGAATCATCTCTTTTCATACAAAGTAATGAAACAAATGTTTTCACGATATAACCAAAGAACTACAGATATAGATGAATGCATATTATGCTTTTTGTATTCTCACTGTGAAGTTAAATATAAAAAGGATTTAAATTTCATTTGCAACAAGTTATGATGAAGCATTTCAGATACACTGGAATAGTATTGCTATTTATAGTGTTATATAACATTCCTCAGCTAGGTTAATATAATACCAAATGACCAAGAACTAAAAAACGATGTTTTTGGTCATTTAATAGAATGTAAAAATGTATTACTTGATTTTAAATGATTTTTTTTAATAAGAGTTTTAACGAAAAGCAATTTGGCCCTCTATCTCACATAACCATTGTTGAAGGTAAGTGATGCCTGAAATACTATTGAATCTAGGTAAAAGTATCGCTAACCACTCAATTGGATTCTCATGATAATAGATACTTTATCTTTTTTTCATTTCAAGTCATGTTATTATATCAAGTTGTAAATACGTGTGTATTGATTTGTGTGAATGTGTAAATCTGTATGTTTTTAAATATTTGTGACTATTTTAGATCTATTTTTCAATATAAGCATATACATATATATATATATATATATATATATATTTTAACGCATCACTCAGACACCCGCTTTTTTTAAGCTCCAACACTGAAATGCTTCATGTATGCATTTGTACACAAGACACTTTCAATGAACAAAAATCTTTCTGCATATACTCAACATCAGAAAAATTCCTAACACGCCGAATAAACGCATCAACCCTCATTTGCCTTTTGAAGTTAAAATCAAGCGAAAATATTTTTACTCAAAAACATAAGAGAGCTCAAGTCTCTAGTAGTATTTTTTTCTAAACTGTGTGGCAGTAGTGTTACGTAAAAAACGATATAGTGTCAACTAGTGTAAATACTAAGAAGTCGCTATGAGCGTAATCTATGTAGGAATGGCTCAACGACCATGTTGCCTAAGATACTGCAACTCACATTTCGCCAGCACGTTTTGTGGGCTGCAAGCTGCCGAGATAGTCTCTAGAGTCTAGAGTGTACTTGTGTGCATGTCTTAAGGTCCATTCACACTCACGTGCCAGTGATTCTCGCTGACGTGAGATCACAGTGTTTTCATTTCACACTGGTCAGTATTTTTCTCCGTGCTCTGACAGTGCAGTTGTGTTCACGTGAGGTCGAGATGGCAAAATTTTCAGAGGATGAACTTGCAGTTATTGCATTAATTCTGTTTTTTTTTATACTCCAACTCCCACGAAGGCCTCAGGCCTAAACACCCATGGGATACCGTGGTGCTATAGGGGGAAACACAGGGGAAAAGGGGGACGCAACACGGACGATGGAATACGTGTGCATGCAATATGCACACATTCTGGCCCCGCCTACAAGATCCGCCGAGAAGTACCTCCGCGTTCGACAGTCAGTGACCGTCTACCACCTACGAAACATGAAGAAGAAGAAACTAGAAGTCCTTGTATTTTGAATTTGACTGGTTCTACAGCACGGTTGTACGCGTACAAATTCAATTAGTTTTTCAGCATGCATGTTTTTGACCAATTATATCAAAATATTCACGAAATTAAATAAAAACACGGCCGTGAAAATCAAAAATATCGTTCCAAAACAATGCGATGATAACGGTACGGCGTCGTCGAGGGCACTGAGAACACACGAACACGGCCACTTCCACCATCCACTCCACGTGCCGGTCTAGTCTGTGAATCAGTTCATCCAAATTCCGAGAAGAATGTTTTTAGTTTCGCCGGGCGGATCACGTGCCGGTCACAGCACTGTTACGTCATGGCGGAGTATGAATAGGCCTTTTGTCTATAGCATCAGTGATATTTGATCACTGATACGTTTGCTATGTGAAAAAATTATTTTTGAATGAAACTAGAAAGGATTCGATTGATGTTAGCAATCGAACACTGTGCTGGAACTTAAAAGCACAGGCAAATAAGGTTAGCGATCGAAAGACTTGTAAAAATAAGGACTATCCGCTTGGGAATCTACATAATGTCAGTAAGAATTGTTGCAATGCCACTTTTTAAGTTACATGGGTGCCGATCAACATTTATTTGAAAGTATCCTGTGTACATACCGAATTTGCTTTGTGTATATTTGTAAAAACTTGCAACAAGAGAATTTAAACAATAAAACTGTCATTAGGTATTTTGCCAAATTTTGTGATTTTTCTCTTCACGATCTTACCGTGAACAAAATTTAGCAAACCTTGTAAAATATAAATCCATTATTCTAAATATTATTATAGGTGTATACCTACGTAGTCCGAGTTGATATAATATATGGATGTATTATGACGATATAAATATACATATTTCTCTTTGAACTGACTGATTATATATCTAAAAAATTATTTGAAAGTGTCAATGATATCAAAACGTTTTTATGTTAAAAGTCTATAAGAATATGGTTCTAGATAAGAGACGAAAATAATTAATATTTGAATGTTGCAATAAGATGTTAAATGTATAAATAAAAACCGTACCACTACCATAGAAGAAATAACATAGATGTGTTTCTAAGCTTACAGATATATAAAAGACGTTTGTGTAAAGTTTATTTGAGAGTGCAAGCTATTATTTATTTATAAGGTAACACTGCAAGTGTCGCATTTATATAAATTATAAATTCCCACATACAGTGCTGGCCAAAGTCGTTTTCCCTTTTAGGGTATTTACCGATCCGTTCAAGCGAGTCTTCATGAATCAGCTGTTATATGTCATAGTTAATACCGTAAAATTGTGGTATTTACCCAACTCAGGAGTAGTTTTATATTTCTGGTTACTATTTGAAATGTGACAAGTTAGAATTTTGCCGGGTATTGGATATTTTTATTGCACTTCAGCTTCATTTTTGGGAAACTTGATACAGGCTGACTTCAGTTTTAGCATAAAGTAGAGCACTTTATTAGTTATAATCATTACTATTGTTGGGAACACTTTAAATCTAGTTCCTATGCTTAACAAGGTATCCTGTGTAGCCATATACCACAAGAATATTAAAATATGGCCATATAAACTCACTGGATGATGTCCACCTGTATGTGCGGTTTTGTTAATGTCTTTTTTCGTTTTTTCCTATCATTTCTGCTAAATCAATAAATATTTTCTTTGACATGCGGAAACGTTTAGAGAATTGAATGTTATCATAGCTACAAAGCCATGGCTCCATCATTAAAAATTTTTCTGAAAAAAAAACATGTCTCCCATTAATATTATGAAAGGTTGCTTTTTTAAACTTTCCATACACCGTTGTACACGAAAAAGTACCGATTATTAAGTGATAATAAAAATAATCAAAAATTATATACGGGCTTTTCTAAAATAACCAACTTGCAACAAAACCGCGGTTAAAACCAACGCGTTCAAGCGATTAGAGCAACTGACGTCATCAACCCGGGTGTCATCTTGAACCATATTATAACCGCAGTACGTAACAGAAATTTTGGTTATTCGCTTGGATTTGATTCATGTGTACCAGAGAAATACGTGTTAGGAAGATTCGACACAAGGTTGTTTAGCAGCGACAGAGATAATCAAAGACAATCCCGACACTAATAGGAGTAGGAGTAAGAGTTAATAAAGCCAACACACATTCTTTCTAGTTCCTATGAGACATGACATAAACAAATATTCTTTATCCCTATATTATCTCAGTATATTTGCGGCATCTTGCACACCTTTTATAAGTTATACATAAGTGTAAATACATCTTTTCTAGACGAATTTTTAGCGCATATGATATTATACACCCAACAAGGTTGAAATTTTTGCTTAGCTGTTCATTCCTGGAAAATATTCGGTGAGGTTCGTTGAAAATATAGCATGGAAAAGACGTAAGTACCTATACTGCTTGAAAAAGATCAACCTCCAGAAGTCTAAATGTTTATGATAAAAATGGTTTTCATAGTTAAGAACATCGTAATATGTATACGTTATTGTCATATTAGGGTAGGATATAGGATGTATCAAAAACAATGTATAAACAAAGCAACATTCAGACTTCAATTATATAAAATATCTGCTTATTTAATCCGTTTTTGAAGCTTGGTTAACCACGGTTTAACATGCATTAATAGAAGTTATTTGATTCCAAATTTGTCTACAATATTTCAATAAAAAGCATTGGATAGATCGCTTTTGATACATCCTACAAGCTGATTCGTTAATCATTTTATTTTTTCTTTGATATGAATCATTGTAAAACTGCACGTGTACTTCAATTTCGCTGGTTTGATAGATTCATGGAGGTTATGAGTGAATAAACGGTTTAAAGACTGGTGTAGTTTATGGTTATTTATTTCCCTGAACTTTTTTGCGGTAATTCTCTTAACTACACCAGCCTCTAGTTTTTGGGTGTAGATGAAAGAAGTGGCACCGAAAATGATCGCAAACATGAAAGTTCTGGAATATTTTACTATATAATAGGTTTTTGAATGTTTGTTTTCAAAGACTGTGTGATGTTACCAGATTTCATTACTTCTTATGTTTTCGGGTTGATGGATATTCTTGATAATTAAATTTGTATGTATGACTTCGAACTCCACACAACCCTGCATAACTTTATTCGTTAATTTTCTTATATTTCTTCAATGTGGCAACATCGCGTTAAGTATAAGATCCGTTATATTCATCGACTTTATTCTGCTAATGTGAATAAGAAGGTGTTTATACCTTTTAAATCCTAGATAAAATCCACAATTTCCATCATTTACAAGCCAAACCTGGTGCCTATTCGGAAGGATAAACAAAAAAGGCTGGTGTAGTTTAGCTAGAGAACTATTAAATTAAAAATATGGTGAATGTGGATCCGCACTTTTAGTTGCCGCCTCGAAAGTAACATGGACAAGAGACCCGGATTCGAAAACATGTGGCCACATATGGCCAATCATGGTCAGCTGCTGTTTCGTGTTTTTGGCTGACGAGATCCGCTCCCCTTGAAACAGAAAACCCTAATAGCGTTTTTTTTTTCGCCCATTTCCACGATCATAGGGTTTCCAAAAGGCGCAAAAGTTCCTGGTATAATCGCCGCAGAACCTTTAATATTGTTAATTCACTAAACAGATTACGTTACTATTGACGTTCACAAAACAGATTCTACAAATTGCCTCATTTTCGAATTGCCCATCTCTAGTGTTACTAAAGCCAGTCCCAGACATTAGCTGACCGACATACCCGACGTGCGAATCGTAGTTGCGATTCTATAATGATGAAGTTATCGACTCAAAGTCCGCTATTTCCAGTCAGATAACCCATTCAACAAAAAAATGGCTTCGCGTGGCACAACTATTCAAAAAGACGTATCTACCATGCGATCAGCCAACCTTTCGTTGTCCAGCGCTGGTTTTATGATATTATTATATATTTTTGTATATGTACAGGGTGTAAAGTTAGTAGTGGATCAACGGAAGTCAGGTGATAGAGGGACTCAAAACCTACCGAATGAACTCCTTTATGTGTGGTCCCCAATTTTATAATTCAGGAGATACTTGCAATTTCGTGAAATTTCGAAAAAATGGGACAATGAACTTTCAATGCAACTTCAACTAAACCATTAGGTTAAGGGCCGTGATTTTTTTTTTGAGATGAGCTAAATGGATATGTCACTTTTTAACAGAACTTATTAGAAATCAACGCCAAAAACTTAAATTCGTTTTTTGTTTGATTAAACTGAAACTTCGCACACGTATCAAGGACCGATAACAATGCAATTATTTGATGACAGTTTTCCATTATACTTATTTGGACCGCCAGGATTGATAAATTATTTTATAGATCCTCTGTAGGGGAGTAAGGAGATAGAGCTAGCGCGCGATCTGCGCATGCGTGCAGTTTCGGAATTACTACGCGGGGGACATATCGTCAGTCCGTATCGATTTCGGTTCAGATGGTGTGCCATTAATCCTGAGTTGGGCATCGACCGTCCACAAGATGCAAGGTTGTTTAGTCGATCATGCAGTAATTTATCTAGGTTCGCGACTGTTTGCTGCTGGACAAGCATGTAGCACTTAGTCGTGTAAAATCTTTAGACGGTATTTGGATTGAAGAACTTGATTGCTCTAACTAAACAGGAAAATCCCCATGCAACAGTGAAGCTTCAAATGAAATGATTAGATTACGAGATAATTCGTAAGATATATCAAACTAATTGATGAATCCAACTAAAAAATTAAAAATAAATAATACTTTTAGAGAAACTGAAAAAAAACACGCTCTTATAGGTAACCGAACTAAAAAGTGGAACATAATTTTTTTAATTACAAAGAATGTATATTACAGTAGTAGATGGTCGAACAATCAATCATAATTAATGACCTCGGAATAAAATTATAAAAAAATTTAAATTAATAATAGAATAATTCAATTCAGAGTAAAATGCGTGGGGTGCATTTCATTACATTTTCATAACTCTCATCTTATGAGATGCCAATAGAATGATTGTAACATTCTGTTAGTAGGTAACTTAAATTTTATTATAATTTTATTTTGAGTTCACTAACTCTCATTGATTGTTCGACCATCTACTACTGTAATATAAACTCTTTGTAATTAAAAATTATTTTCTACTTTTTAGTTCGGTTTTTTGCAACTATTAATTATTATCGTTTGAGAATCTTGCTTCAGAAATACGGATAATGTATGTGCTTTGAAACTGCAAGTCCTGACAGTATACCTGTGGGGCTACTGTAGTTTTTTCATTTAAGCTTAGTTTGGAAACTTAGAAACTGGAATTGCTTGGAAGGTAGCCCTTGTTAATTGAATGCATCAGAAGGGAAATTCTTCATATAAGATCGGAGAAGTACAGCCAAGTCTTGAGACTAAAAGTATTGACTTTGCAACTAGATGGTAGCACTTTCCCAGATGGGGTTTTATCGTGTAAAAACCTAGAAATTACTATTTACAATGTTTCCACTGTTAGCTATAATCTTTTTTCCTTACCTTAGGTAGATAATTATAAAAAAAATCAAAGTTTCGTGTGAGTTTGACCAATACGATCCAGCGAGAATATTCTGAGACTTGTACATGGTAGATAGGAACTACTTTTGTCGGCTTTTGATATGCGGGTGATTTTCTTTAATATTCGAGAAATATATAGTATTATAACTGGATATAAATTACCTAAAGGTTTCTTTTTTAGAGAGGAGTAAGACAGCCATCTAAAGATTCTTCCAAGGGTATTGCACTTTCCACACAGTCTCCAGTTACAAGACTTTATTGACAAGTCGGATATTTATGATCCATGAGAGTACAAGTGGTATTTTTTAATTTGTTATATCAAATTCACTTTCTACAAAGGGCAAATAACATTTGTGAAGTGCCAGATTTTTTCTAGTAGCAATTTTAATATAGAACAAATACAGTGAATGATAACATAGTGGGTGACCTTACCAATCAAGGTGCATATGCACAACCCACAAAATCGCTGGAATCAAAACATACATTTATCTGAATCGATTAGCGTAGTGTAATTTCTCTCAATGTTTTATTTAAATACCGTTGATTCATTTCTAATATCTTAATTTCTGCCACACATCTAAGCTTGGGATGACTCACTTTTCAAGAAAATCGTGAAATCATGCTCTTCAACAGTATTACATGCAATAATTGGACAATAAGGGAGTACAGGTATTTCTGGACCACTGTCACGTGTCTTTCTTCGGAAAGCTCTTACCGGAACACCGGTCTCATTTTTGTAAGATTTTCCATGCATACGAGTATGCTTTCGTTAATGTCTCTCTGAATCAACTGATTAAAATGCATAATTTCTTTAAAGCGCTTTTACAAATCAACGTCTCCACGAATTGTAACTTTTTTGACAATATAATCATAACCTCTAGATCTGTTCTCCAATTGCCAAATGCCAATGCGGATCTAAGATGATACTATTCGTCATTATTCGTCAGTGCGGTCCGGTGGACCTTTGCTCTTAGTTAAAAGTCTCGGTCTGTTAGTCTGTCAGGTCTGGCTACAAAGATACCAAACATGTTTAAGGAGAAAAGGGAAAGAAGGAAAGAAAGGAAGGAAGAAATAGAGCAAAGAAAAGAAGTAAATCATTTGAAATAGCTTAAGCATTATTGCTTTGACTACTCGAATTATTTTGCAACTCCAAAAAATAATTTTGATTGGTTTTGTATACTGAAATAATTTTGGCTGGTCTGAATTTACAATTTAATTTTGATCGGTGCGAGGCGCAGCCTGGAATGTTTGCGAACTTGCTCGACTGTGTAGTCTACTGAATCACGCAACAGACGGTTGCTGTGCGATTCCGCTTGATTATAACGCCGCTGCGCCTGTTGTTTTACGTAATCCCTTAGATATGGGATATCAGGATCTCTGTGAATAGTCTCATTTGACACGTACCAAGGGGCGTTAGTAATTATGCGTAGGGTTCTGTTTTACAGGACTTGCAGTATCTGCATGTGCGTCTTGGCAAGAAAACACCAAGCCGCGCATACGTAGGTGATTGCGGGTCTTATGACCATTTTATACAACCGAATCTCCTGTTCCGAAAACATTACGGGTATGCCTCTGACTACCGCGTGAATATTTCGTTCTGAAGGAAGAGGGAACGTATGATGGGGCACGTCCTCCCTGAACAGGCGAACGATTCTTCGGTAGTCATCCTCAGTTTTCGGCAAAATCCTGATTCTCGCATCAACAGCAACTGCGCGTTCTATCTTAATGCCTAAGCTTATAAAGGTGTAGTTTATATGTCGCCACTTGGTCGCATCACGCAAAACAATGGGCGTGATTCGCCCCTGGCGGGGTGCTGTGCTGGTCAACTCACCAGCAACGTAAGACTGTTGAGATAATGCACAGTCAGTCGATGCAGTGGCCAAAGATTGAGACGATGTGGTCGCTGCATCGACCGTTATAGGACAAGTGGCAGAAGAAGTTGTTACGTTTAATGAAGAAGAAGGTTTTGAGGGGACTGCCAACTTGAATTTTGATTTTGCTTTTGGAAGAGGTGGGAAGTCATCCGTCTTGTCGGTTTTGTTCGTTTTGTCGATGCGTATTTTCCTATACTTGGCCTGAATGAATCCGTCATTCTGTATTTCATCGTCGGTCGATGTCACGTCAGTTAAATTTTCAAGAGGTCTTTTTAAATTGACAGCCTTGTCAGATTTAGATTTAAAATTTGCATTATTGATTAACTGTGTTACCTGAGTGATCAGGCAGTCTATTTTACTGTTTTGGTCCCTAACTGTCTCAGTCAGCTCCTTTATTTGCCGGGCCCGGCTTTCGATGATCAGGGTCTGGCGATGGATGGTTCTGTCCTTTTCTTCTGCTACAGCTGGTGTCATCAACTCCTTTGATTTCAAGGTAATTTCTGTTATCTCCTTCTGGCTGAGTCCATTCATCATTGGGGATGCTGGGGGATCATTACTTTCACCTCCAGAGTCTATCTCCATGTTTTTAAATCGGATTTTCTATTGAAAAACTTGAAAACTTTCATGAGCAAAAATATGACGTATTGCCAATTATCCCTTATACAGGGCGAATATCTAAGATGATGCAAGCGGTGCACAGTGCGAAACGCAATTTATGGTGTTCTCATGGTAGACAAAATTTATGTTCTCCAAAACACGATCCCACGCGTTATTCAACTATCAAAAGTATGTTCACCACGTAAGAAATTCAGCAAACTACAAACTTGATCTTTAATAAAAAATTTAATGCTACTAGTTTTTGGCAAAATAAATGTATTCTCTAATCTGTAATATTGATTATACTTGGAATGATTTTCTCTTGGAATTTCCGTTATATATCATTTTTTGCTGAAGATAAGATTGATGTGCTGATTAATAAAACGTTTTCTCAGAAAAAATCCAGGATGCAGTTTATGAATAGAATTTTATTTATGACATGTTAGTGTAACATTTAATAATTTATTTGCGTGTACCAAAATTTATCAATCTACTTTCGAGAAATCTAAGATTTTTTTTCATGTATTTCACTAGTGTATATTTCATAAAGTCTTTATTGGCACAACCAAACAAATAGGAGATTACATTTAAATCACAGACCCAACGCAAGTGCAAGCCACCTATGGCTGATCTGTTTCGATCAAGGTTCGAACTTACAGAATCGCCATCATCATTATCACGTCTAGCAAGACTGTCACATCATCTGTGACCGCCTCTAGAATGGCTCAATTGACATTGACATTAGTCATTGGCGGTTTCAAAATTTTTAGTTGTCAAATTAAAGGCTGAAGGAAAGAGAAAATCCATTTTGTTTTCTGGATAATTTATCAAAAGTTGTTAATATTACAGTTCTAATAAATGCGTGAAACAATCGCAACGTCACAGAAAATGGAGCAGGTTCTCCAGATCTTCCCCCCAGCGGAATTGAAGTTCCGGGGGCCTTTCAATGTACCAGTTACTTCCTATATGAAATTGACCAACCCTACTGACATGAAAGTTATCTTCAAAATCAAAACCACCGCGCCGAAAATGTACTGCGTTAGACCGAATTCGGGGACCATTGAAGGTAACCACTAGATAATACATAACATAAACCTCTTTTCACTATAGAGGGTGAGTAGTGTAAGTTTTTTCCGGTGACCTCCCCTCGTATTTACGTCTTCTCTACAAAGTTTAATTTTATATTAATCACCAATTATAGTTACGATATTAAAGTAGGAATAGCGACCTGTTGTAAATATTTTTTGTCTCCAATATATAGTCTTGAATCCTCAAGCAAAAATTGATACTATTCATTCTCTATTAAAATAACTTTCATTGAATTAAATGATCTTGGGCCATGTAAGATCCCTAACAGTCGCCGAATGGGGCATTAGGATCCCTATTGTTTCTATTTCTGTTTTTAAATGCACTTTAGAGTACTCATCATGCGGGAATTGTAACTTGCAAAGAGTTGATTCACTGCTGGTCATTGGGGAAACAATAGAACTGATTGTAAGCCCTTTTGGGACTAGAAATAATGCAGGGTCTGATCTAGCCTGTGAAAATGAGTGGTGGGCACCCATTTTATAGGCCACGCCATAAGAAATCAAATAGAAATACTTTTGATTCAATCAAATGCACCAAGATGGTGCTAGGACATCAAGATGTCTGAGGATGGAATCATGTGGTGACCATGTTCAGTTCTAGAATGTTGGAGAGCACTATAAAAGCGCGGGTGTATGTCTATTTGTCATTGTCTGTCAGAGCGGTCCGTAGGACCTTTGCTCTTGGTTGACGTCTTGTAAGCCAGTAGGTCTGTCAGGTCTGGTTGCCCAGATACCAAACAAAGTCAGGGAGAAAGAATGGAAGAAGAAAGGAAGGAAGGAGGGAGAGCAAAGAAAAAAGAAGTGTGTCAATTTGAGGGGTGCGTTGGCATTGCTAATTAGTATTCTGCAATTTTAAATTGATCCTAAAATTAATTTTTGATTGGTTGTTGAAGAAAAATTATAATTTTGGTTGGACCTAAAGTCGCACGATTTAATTTTGTTCACAGTGCGAGTCGCGGCCTTGTGTGCTTGCGAACTTGCTCGACGGTGTAGTCTACTGACTCGCGCAACAAAGGGTTGTTATGCGATTCTGCGTGACTATAACGTAGCTGGGCTTGTTGTTTGATGTAGTCCCTTAGGTAAGGGATCTCAAGGTCTCTGTGAAAGGTCTCGTTGGAAACATACCATGGGGCGTTAGTGATTGTACGCAAGGTTCTGTTCTGCAAAACCTGCAGGCTATGCAAATACGTTTTGGCGAGAAAACACCAAGCCGCACTTGCGTAAGTGATAACTGGTCTAATAACCATCTTGTATAGCCGAACTTTGTTGATCAAACTTAATTTTGATGTTCTACGTAGCATAAGGTAGAGTTACCGAAACGAGATTTGGAATTTAGTTTTTAACGCTTCAGTGTGCTTCTGCCAAGTCATCCCCTTGTCAAGAGTGACACCGAGATACTTAGCAGAGCTTTCCCATGGTACCCGAGCTCCATTCACTGAAACCACAGACGAGGAGGTAGTACAATAGATTGCCTGCGTTTTCGAATGATTAATTTTGATCAGCCACCGATTCGCCCATTCCAATACCTCGTCCACTGCACTTTGCAACCTGTCGTGAACTAGATCCCCAAAGCACGACTGGGCCGTCAGGGCAGTGTCGTTGTCGTCAGCATAGAGATAGATTTCACAGTTGCTGGGGCAAGGGACGTCATGAATAAAAAGTGAATAAAGGACTGGTCCAAGAACCGTACCCTGAGGGACACCGGCTTTGATGGGTCGTGTTGTCGACAGAACATTATTAATTTTGATCCGAAATTTCCTACCCTCGAGGAAGGATTTCAAAAGTTTTAGGATCCAGAAGCCACGAAGCCCTTATGGATCAATTTGTAGAAAAGGCCCTTGTGCCACACCTTGTCAAATGCCTGTGTGACATCCAGAAGCAAGATGCCAGTACTTTCGTTACGGGTGAACCCCCTGGTTACTCGTTCAACAAGCCTTATGGCCTATAGCTCCATACTATGCTCAGACCGAAAGCCAAATTGCACATCTGGAATCACACTGTGGTCTGCCGAGAAATTTTCAACGAGACGTAGAATCACCTTTTCAGCGACCTTAGAAGGAGCAATGCGGAGCCTCAGGAGATTCCGCTGATGTGCCATGCAGCTCTTCAGTTGAGGAACCTTCTGAAGATTCGTCGGAGGAAAAATCACTGACTCCGTTGGCCCTAAAATATCTCCTGACGGATCTTACAATTTGTTGCTCCTCATGGTCATTATCAAGGTCATAGTTGGGAGAGACTATGCTCCTAGGACCATGGATGTGCGGGATTTGTTCTCGCTTTCCGTTTCTGAACGATTTTGCAACTTTTCAGAGAGGAATACTTGAGTCAAGCATCCCCGACAGAAAGTCGCTCCATTGCTCATTACGGAATTCATGAAGAGCATTTCTCACTTCATGAACAAGATTTGTTGCTCTGTGAATGTCATCTGGGTGACAAGACCTCTTCGCTTGCTTAATTGCAGCTCTTTTGTCAGAAATTTTCTCACGAATGTCTGCTGGGAGAGCGCGGGAGTATTTACACTGATCTCTCTTCCAGCAGATCCAATCAGTATACTCTATACTGTAGTACTGAATGAAGTACCCATCTTCTGTACCAAGAGGTAAGGGTGTGAGTTTAACCAGAGCATTCTGTTAGTGAGATAGTGGTAGTTCTGTTAACTATAATGAAAAAAAATTGAGGTTCCAGGTTTACTATTTTTTTTTAAATCTTGTTTATGGTTATGTAGATCCTAATCCAGAACCTGAGAGAGAATTGAGGTTTTTGATTGACTTGTTCTTTATTCATATAAATTATAGTGTACTGTTTTCTGTGTCTATTTTTGAAGTATGAATTTTGAGTATAGAGTTATTTTCCAATTTTTGAATATTGACTGGACTAGTGTGCTGCTAAAAAATAACTTTGATTTAGATTTTAGGAAGGCTTTAGAACCAAGCTTTTTGAATGTGTTTACCAGCCTTTGCAAAGATTTATGGATGTGTTTTTGCATTATTTTGAAATATTTTGATTATTCCGTCTGGACTTAGCCTAGTTCTATACTAGTTTTGGTTCTTTGCCTTGGGGAACAACTACGAATTGGCTGCTAAGACCGTCTGTACCGTAATACTGAATTGCACCGACCATAAACCGAACCGCACTGACTCCAAATTTCACACCCTTACCCAACCATTGGAATTTAACCAGCACTAGGTCAAAATTAAAACTGGGAACTGGGAAAAAAAAATGAGATATTTCCGAATAATCTTTTTTTTTGTTTAATTTTGATAACCTTATTTTGACTTGTCTATGCCTACGTTGGCCCTAATGAACTTCTCTGGTGACAAATAACAGCTGACTGGTGAAACCAATCGAATGGAATCCCGTCAGAATGCCGAACCGTACCCCCCGTTTAGTCACCTTGGTGACTTTGGGATTTGATTTGTGTCCTGTGTTGGTTAATTAATTAGTCTTCCTTGATCCTATCTGCTTTCTCTGGTGATCAACCAGGAGCAACACCAGCTGCTGGTGCCACTGCTTTGCCCGATTTGAGTTATCGTATCAAGAAGGCAGGACAGGGGTTTATTCATCTTCCGACTGGTGATTCGACATATCAGACCGGATCTACCGTCGAATCCCTGAATTATTCCCTTCACTGAAGCTGCGCAGGGTAACTGTTCCAATCTATAGTGTTGTCTCCACCCTTTCAACAGGAGGCTGGCGCGCGAGGAGTTGCTGAACTAGAGCGGCACTTAGTTCGCCAGTCTGTCGCTATCAGAAAAAAAACGACGACTATCATCAAATGAAAATTCTTTCAGCTGCATCAGTGCTTCTAAGAGCTAATGCCTTTCTGATAACTAAAGAGTGGCGGGTTGGCATTGGTCGGTCTTGATTCACACAGTGGGGAGTCATTTCACCATCCTGGTTACCCCTTGACTGAGAATTTTGCACTTGCTTACCTCCTGTAGCCAGCCTGCTTCATTTACTTAACACATAAATTACTTTGATTTAGGTAATGGATCAGTGGAGGTGGCTGTCTGCCTACAACCTTTCCTCTTCAACCCAGAAGAAAAAAACAAACACAAATTCATGGTCCAATCAGCATTTGCACCAGAAGGAGACTTCAATATTGAGACTGTATGGAGAGAATTAGATGCAGATAAGCTGATGGATTCAAAGTTAAAATGCTTCTTTGAGCTGCCTCCTGACAACAACAAGACTGCTGAGAGTGAGAGTGAAATGGCAGATAGCACAACTAATCTTGAGCTAACGGTAATAAGGGAATTTACTTGTCGACATTTTTTTTGAAAATCCTGTACTTTGTTACAGAAAGCAGCCCAAGAAGTGCAACAACTAAAAAATGAGGAAACATTCCTACGTCAAGAAAATGTTCAGCTACATGAAGAACTTGCACAACTCCATCAACAATTGCGGATCACAAACATCAACAGGTACCAACCTCCAGAGTTGGACCAGGGGATTCCCATCAGTCTGTTTGTGGTTGCATTTGTCATGATCATAGTTGGTGTGGCGTTGGGCAAATATGCGATTTGAGACATTCACCTGCCTGGGATTTTGTTTTATTCAAAAGGACCACAGCAGTCTGAGACATAAGTCCTTATCAGGAAGTAAAGGCTTGTAAATATGCAAGACTGATTGTAAAATCATCTTTTTGAGTAGTCAGGTGCAGAGCAATCAATAACAAAACTTCGTATTTCTGGTATAAAAGAAATGTCTATTGTTAAAACCCATTTCCTTCAAGGCTATCCCACATTTTTTTATTAACTAGCAACTTGAATAACAAATTGCTTATTATTTTATAACTGAACTTTCACTAAACCAAAATGATTTCAACTCTATTAAAGATTTTTATGATTTTCTTAAACTCCCAATTTACTACTTGAAAATAATAAGAGCCTTTTGTCGAGCATCTTGGTATCGGAATTGTTAGACAAAGTTTCTAGAGTTATTTTCTGTGCCACACTTATATAGTACAAGGTGTTCCAAAAACGTAAGGTACCAGACACATCTACTTTTGAAATAGCAAAGCAAAGCATAAAAATCGAAGATAAGTACACACTGGTCATTCAAAAACACAAGTTCGTTAACTTCTTCAATTTCCAATGTTTGGGGCTGTCCTGGTCTACTACTACTGTGATCACTTCAAAGGCCCTTGTAAGAGATAAACAAACCTACGCATTGCAGGGTGGAGCATCTAGGAAACAATCTGAGTACACTCATCAGTCTATTGAAGACTCTCACTATAAACTAATATCTAATGTGCCCTTATAAACAAACAATTTGGTTTACTTATTGAGCGAGAGGCGTCTGGATCTAATATTGATGCACGTCGGAATCGAATAACTCTGCTTTAGAGTTTATGTATAAAATTTTATTCTTACAATAACTACAAACTGTGTAAAAGAAGGTTCCACGTTCAAGAAAATCCTGTATAGTGTTTTAAATGAGTTTTGTCTTGACAAGATCATCTCTACAGTTGTCTTTCGTCTATCTGTACAAAAATCATTTACCATTATACTGAAAACTTATTTTTTCATTCCAATCTCATTATTATAGTGCCTTCTTTACAACTTCGATGCAAATGGCCAGAAGTATGCAGGTAAAAGATTTTATATCATAGTAGTTATTTTGAAAAGCAGCTGAAATGGAATAATGGAGACATTGAAGACATTTTATGATTACCCTATTTAGCTTTTTGTTTTTGATTTTGTGGGGTGATATTTTTTTATTGGCATGTAATAGTCGTTCACGGTGTGTTTTTTTTAAATTTAGGTAATAAAACATTAATAGAATATTTTTGAAAACGTGTTGTTTCACCGAAATGCAAAATTTCCAGTTAAGTAGGTCAATTCTGTACATTGCATACTTTTGAATCACATCAATACGTCATTTTCGACAAAATTACATTTATTTCAATATATTGCTGTACAGGGAGGATTACATGATTACTCTTTTCAAACAAGGTAGCTCATGATATACTTAAATCTACCCTGTGTGTATAGTGTTGATATGATATTAGCTAATAGGTCGTATATATTAGAATTATGATATTTGTGAAGATGTATTGAAACTTAATTCTTCTTGATATTAAAATCTAGACATGTAGAGTAGTTGAGTCAAGGAAGGTTGCACCATGAAAATTAATTGCCGTATATTCGTAATTTGTACTAGTAATTACACGTCTTCAAAGTGACATATTGGCTATAAAAAACTCTTATAGTCTCCACTTCGCCAGAAAGACATTTTCTGTTTGTACTGAGAATGCAGTATCATTCCTACTGTAGAGCCATCCCAAATATTTTATGCATTTTTTGTATTGCTTATGTCCAACAAAATATTTTTACAGTTTCATAGATATGAGGCCACCTATAATTTATTTATTTTAAATAGTGCTGCCTAGCAAAGATGTAGGATGTGTTCAGTGAAATACATGTTTTGGTTCACTTACAAGTATTTAATTCCCTGACCGTTGGAGTTTGGATGGTATTTAAATTTTTTACATAATCAACTCACTGCGTGTTTGCACACAACCTGTTTTGCTGTCAGTATTTTTTATTTTACCTTAACGAAATATTTTGAAGGCAATCAAACTCGAGTTTATAACTTTTGATAACTGTAGATATTTGTATATTAAATGTGTGTTCTTAACCATTACACCTTTCATTAAATGTTTGTATTCAAATTGTATTAATAAATTGTGTATAGCATTTAAAACTTGTTATTAACTCCCAAAAATTTGTCAAAACGAACCATATATTTTCGTGCGTCAAACTAATAATTTTTATTCACGAATTTCTAAGCCGAAATTCAAACGTGTTACTGGTAGAGTTAGTACGCTTTCTCGCGAGCCGCGAAATGCGGAAGAGGGGAGGTGGGTAGACACAAAGTAGGGATATTCTGTTATCTCTTTCGTTCAGATGCAGTCCTAAAAACATTGGGGAGAAGCAGCAGCTAGCCTACAACGTGTATGTCTGTACAGTGGCCTAGTTATAGGGTTTATTTAATCGTACAGAGTTGAACGCGTGCATCCTGACATATACCATGTTTGTGTGTAATTTCATGATTACAGAAATTTCCTAATTCTGTAAGCATTGTCATATATATATCACCTAGAAAAGAGAGTTAAAAAACAAACATAACTGCTCTGCTTATTTTGTGATTACATGAAATGTAAGGATTTCTTTGTCAGCTTTTTTGACGTCCTTAAAAGTTGACAAACTGAATTAATCATTATGACAAATGACTGACGAAAGCCGGCTAATACACAATTTGTTCGAAAACACTAAAATATATTTGCACGTAATAAACAAAATAAGGTACCTGAACATTCGTTTTAGTTAGACTGAGATAGAAGTCCCACTGCTAAGTGGTTGGCATCCTAAGCTCTCGTCATCTTCACTGTTACTATCTGATGACAGCTGTAGGTCAGATTCATCGCTGCCATGGTGTATTCTTATAAATAATTCCTGGACGTGATCCATTATATATTCGCGACTTTTTTTCATACTCCAACCACCACGAAGACCTAAGGCATAAACACCCATGTGGTACCGTGGGGCTATAGGGGGATACAGGCGAAAATGGGGAACCCCACACGGACTCTGGCAAGGGAACACGTGTGCATGCAACATGTACACATTCTGTCCCGCCTACGAGATCCGCCGGGTGGTACCTCTACGTTCGACAGTCAGAGATCGTCTACCACCTACGGACAATCACATCATCCATAGATAAGAGAAAAATTTCTCTCGGGACGGGATTCGAACCCGCACAGCACACGGCGACTGATCAGGAGACCGAAGAGTCTACTACTGCGGCCACCGCTGCTGCCTGAAAGACAGTGACGAGCTCTAATGCTTATTTCGCCAATAAAGAAACATCGTCCATTTTAAAGGTGGTACTCCTGGCTGCTACCTCATTTTTGACAATGTCCCAGATTTTCTCTATAGGGTTTAGTCCTGGATGGTAGGGAGGCAAACGTAGAACATCATGACCGTTTTCATCTAATATCCTATCTACTGCATACATTTTGTTCAGTGGTTTATGTATTTGTATTAAACGATAAAGTTCAGGTTTTGTGATATTATCAAATTTTCTTTTTTTCAGTGAGTCATTTCTACATATCTGCTATTTTCCAAGCAGACGATGGATTACGGTCTGTCGGAACATTATGGTAGGATGGATAGTCAATTAGTAATACAGAATTCGGAGCTAAATTCGGTATTAGTTTTTCTTGTAGCCATTTCTTATAATTTTCATGAGTCATATCATCATGATAATCGCCTGCTTTTAAACCTTATTTAAATATGTATGAGGTCTGCATTGGGAACAAAACAATTTCTACCCCCACAATGTACAATAATTAAACGTTTGACTTTTAAGCAATTATCTGTTCATTTCGTTCTATTGGTACTATGTGTGGGCTATGTACCATATGTATGTTTTGTCATTGTAAACAATATTTCTGCCTACAAAGTGTTTCTATCGTTAAAAGATAAAAACAAATTATCTGATACTGAAAAACATCATAAATTTTGTATTCTTAAGTCGCTCAAAATATATCAGTACACCTAGATCTTTGTACTCTTTCAGTCTTCTAAAGTTAAGTATTCTGTCTGTTTCGTTCTGCTCTCCAGCTTTTCAATCAGTACCTTACTGTTATCTTCTATTTTTGTCCAATGGAAGCCCGATTTGCGTGCTATTTTCCTGAATAACGTGAGCTTTCCATTAAGAGTTACATCATCGTTGATAACAGCATCGTACACTGCCTTCATTGTAGCTCTCCTTTTATGGACATACACGAACCTGTATAATTACATTTCTAATAATGTCTTCACCGAATTGATCCACTGACGATTTTGGGATAGATTTCTTTATGGTTTTTCGTACTATATAAATATATACTAAATGACATATAAATCCGAACACCCAGTTTAAATGGTTTTATTTTAATACAATTTTGTATAAGTACTTAATGAAGCATAATAAGTAAATGATAAAAATTTCAAAATGATTGCATTGCTTTAAAGCCCTTTGACCTTTAATAATATGTGGATGCACCCTGATGTGCTACGCATTCTCCAACGCGCCTAGGCATGCTTCTGATCAGGTGGTCAATGTCCTCCTGTGGTATCTCATTCCAGGCAACCACCAACTCCTCTCGAAGTGCTTCTAGAGTCTGAGGAGGACGTTGCAAATTGAGCAATCTCCTACCCATCATATCCCACACGTGCTCAATTGGGGATAAGTCGGGAGATCTTGGTGACCATGGTAACAATGTGACATCATTATGTTGAAAGAAGTCTATTGTGACTCTTGCAACATGTGGTCGGGCATTATCTTGTTGGAAAGTTGGATCTGCCAGGGTGTCAAGATAGGGTAAAAGATGGGGTTCTAGAACTTCGTGGATATAACGCTGCGCGTTCATGTTACCTCTGATGAAGATTAAACGTGACCTGGAACCATAAGCTATAGCACCCCAAACCATAACTCCAACAGTGTGATGAACATGTCTTTCAACAAAAAACTGTGGATTCCTCCTTTCACCACGTCGCCTTCTAACCCTGGCACGACCATCGTGCATGCCTAAACAAAATCGAGACTCATCACTAAAGACAATACTGTTCCATTCCTGATCCCAGAGTGACCGTTGTCTGCACCACTCAAGGCGATTACGTCGGTGTTCTCGAGTTAAAGGGAGGACCCAGTGTGGCCGGTATGAAAACTAGCCAAAACTTCTCATTCGTCGGTAAACACTTCGCATGCCAATAGGTCTTCCGTGTTCTGCAAACCATTCATTTGCAATGGACCTGGTAGTGGAGAAACGGTCCCTCAAGGCCAATAATCTTAGGCGGCGATCTTCACGGTATGTTGTTCTACGGCGGCGTCCAGTGCCCCTTGCTCTTTGCGTACGGCCTTCTCGAAGCCATGCCTGACAACACCTAACCACAGTGTCTACACTTCTTTGCACTCTAACTGCAATTGCCCGAAAAGAAAGTCCAGCTTCCCGAAGTCCCACTATACGGCCCCTATCAAACTCACTAAGTTGACGAAATCGTACAGGTCTCCGTACTCTAGGCATCGTAACCGATCGTAAAGGATGTCAAGAACCAAAACCCGCCAACGTTGATTCTTTACTGCGGCTGAAATATTCATTTTTAGAGCGTTAGTGAATTAAAAAAAAACAGTATAAAAACCGGAATGTCCAACTGATAAAGCTGAAAATTTTTTCACTTGTTATTTACAGTAAGATAAATACATTCACCAACGTTTATTAAAATAATAGATTCTGTCTCCAACTCCGTTCTCATAGTCTCGTTTCATATTTTGTCCATTTTTGTTACCCCTTTGACTCGTCTCAAGTATTTCATTTTAACTGCCTGAAGTTTACTTTTTTGTTGTTGCGATAGAACCCAGGATTCGTCTCCCTATGTCAATATAGGTCTATATATTGCCCTGTACAGTAATTTTTGTTTGGGACACCTCTTTTTTGTTGATAATGTGACGACTAGCGCCATCTGTTGGGCGAGTCTCCTACTCGCCAGAGCCTAAATGCCGATATCTGCTTTTACACGAACTACGGCGACAAGCCGCCTGACGGCGTCTGTGAGGACCATGACAGTGGATCGGAATACGGAATACGGTGGACTAGCCCTGGTTGTACAAACCGTACCGTTTTTTGATTCTGCTAATGATAGGCTCCCATATTGATTTGATTTCTGCGCGGGCATTACCATACATGTTACTGTTGCTGGATATGTACGCTGCCACCTTGAATTTTCTTTATGTATGGTCTTGGTGTCTTCATAGTTTACTTCGTGGTGTTCTCTGCATGCGTCTTCTGCTATCCCTCGTCGGGGATCCTTCATCCGCACAGCCAATGTTCTTTGAAAATCTGGTTTCGATGTGGTACTCCTTCCCGATTCTTCTCATTATACTAGAAATGCATTCCACGAACGGTATTATGAGGGTGTGCTGCTGTTCATCTCGCGTGCTTCTCCTGATTGTACTATCCTTTTGCAAAACTTCTACTGTTCGTCTTGGGTATCCCTTGTTTGTCAGATCTTCCTTAATCTTGCGGGTCGTGTCTTCTAAACTTGCCTGTGTGCCGCACATGTCCTTAGCTCTATCAACGAGAGTTCGAATCTCCCCTTCTTCGTGATCACAAGATGGCTTGAATAATAAATGGAAGTATTGCCCTGTGTGTGCTGGTTTCCTGTAAAGTGGGGTTTCTATCGGGCCGACATATCTGACAAGATGTCGTCTCAGCTGTTTTTTTCACATGATACCAACCATGTTGTGACATTTTGAGAATATCATTTTTTGTTATGAAAGTAAGTAATCTTTGAAAATTATTTTTTCTATTAATTTAAACATGTTGTTGAGTGGAGAGATTTTCCTGTAGTCTATATTGAACAAATCTCCCTTTTTGTGCACTGGAACAACTATAGCAAGTTTGAGAACATATGTCTCCTATATTGACCGGTTTATACGGTGAACCAAGTGTTCAGCTATATCGTTCTTGATGAAAACTAATGTTTGTACGGACAGACCGTCGTAGCCCACAGAATGTTTTTTTATTGAATTCAGATCTTCAATCATTTCTTGTATGACGGTTGGAGCAAAAAATATTAAATTTTGAATGTATGGTTATGCAGTTGGAGGTAGCAATTCATTATTTGAAAAATAATTATTAATTTTCAAAGGTACACCAGTAGAAAAAGATTCCAGAAAAAGTTCATATAATTTTGACGTCTCTGATATTTGTTCATTGTTGACACTCAGAACAACTTTTTTAGTTTTTTGTTTGTCATGCTTAATATTTACAATATTCCAAGTTGATTTATTCTTATTGTTGCAGGAACTGATATTATAGCTGTAATAGTCGTTTTTTTTTTCATGAGCCAAAATACATTTTTTTGATGTAGACTTTGCCTTATCAGATTATCACTTAGCCATGCCTTGCGTGGATCATATGCAGCTTTTATCTTTTATAGTTTTTATATGACAGCTACCATCAAGGCACCACCTAAGACTATATGTGAAGTAGTGGAATCTTTTATTAATATTCAAGTTATATATTTTCCTCCAATCAGTTTGGCTAACTAGTCGACCAAACTCATTTAAATAATCGGTCCTTATGTTGGGTGAACTATAGGTGATTGTTTTCAATCGGTAAATACATCAGAACCATTGGGGTAAATGATCAGCAAGGTTAGGATCAATAATTTCAGAATGTCACGTATCTGGTTCAAGGTTTGTTGCCATGCAGTCAAATGAGCTGAACGTTCTCCATTCAGAAAAAGTATGCTGGGTTCGGTGGTTGACACATACAGGTCGAAAGACTTGAGGATATCTTTTAGCAGTTTTGTGTTAAAACATTCTTTGTTTATGTCAATATGCAGGTCGCCACATATAGCACTATGTGGTCTGACATAGTAGCTACTGTAGTTGAAGCTGGATTAAGTATTTCAGGAAACAACACTGCATTTCCACTTGGTGGACGGTAAACAGTGATTAAACACAACTTTTTAAAATTCAGAATAGTAAGTAGTCATACACAATTGGATGGGACCCTCAATAGACAAATGATCAAGTGAAATTCTCTTGCAGTCAAAATGTGTCTTATAGTATATAACAATACCTCCATGCTTGTGGGTGTTTCTACCAAAATAAGAAACACATTGTAGTGTGGCGTTATTTATAAATATATTATCATTCATGACATGAAGTTCAGATTTAATAATAATAATAAATGGTCTTTATTTTACCTGGCGGGTTACATCAGCACAAGCTGTTTTTCAGAACCAACCATAGCTAAAAAAAAATTCAAGTACATGCAAATACAAAAAAATACACAGAAGATAATAAGAAAATTTAAAGCTAGAAAAATTTTTTTTACAGGATCGTAGCCTATGCATGGTATAATGACCAAAGGCCAAAAGAGAAACGTGCATCAACAGAGTACGTAGCAGAATCAAAAACCATGCTTAGAAATAACTTTAAAAAAAGAAAATATTAGGTATATGGAGGAAGATATAAAAATTAAAAGTAAACAGTAACAAATTCGTAAACAAATATAATTACATGCTACATGTCATCAAAGACAAAGAGCCTAACTTTTCTTTTAAAGCTGGACACAGATAGAGTTTTCAAAGCTTGAGGTACTTTAATGTAGAAATCGGGCGCCACATATGAAAAGCTGTTTCTGAATTGGGTAGTTCGGTGCCGAGGCAGTATATCCTACAAAACGCAGGTTCGCTGAGTGATGATCACATCTCATGGTAAGCTTGTTCTTCAAATAAATAGGCATTTTATTTATCAGAATACTGTGGACCAATGATAATAGATGCAGTATCCACCTTTGTCACATAGTAAGCCATTGAATATTTTTAATATGATCAGATACCCTCTCCCGCCTTTGAATACCTAAACTGAATCCTATGCAGCTGTTTTGCACTTTATGAAGTCTGCATGCCTCGCTCTGTATTAGACATGGACCATAGACAAGGTCCCCGTATTCAATTTTACTTAGGATAAGGGAGTCACACAGCTTAACCTTGGTCTGCTTGGACAACACATTTTTATAAATTTATATATAAATTGACTTAAACTTAGCATAGGAACCATGAACAGCTTTGGTGACATGATCATGGAAGCACAGGTTCTCATCAAATGTGATGCCCAAGTTGCGAACCGATGTCTTGTGACAAAGTTCATCACCAATACACAGCTTTATTAATTCACTATTGAATTTGCTGAATTTAGATTTAATAGTTATGATAGCCGACTTTCTAGGGTTAATACATAAGCCATACATAAACTATTTAAATCCTCAGACAGCATCTCATTCGCCTCAGTGTACATAGCAGGGTTGTAAGATAGATAAATCTGTGTATTATCGGCGTAGGTATGTAATTTGCAGTAATTAGTTACTTGATCTAAGTCCGCTACATAAAAAGAAAACAGAATAGGTCCAAGAATAGACCCCTGTGGTACACCTTTGGAGATAGTACCCTCCTGTGATAAGATGTAACCGATTTTTACCTGCTGAATGCGTTCATGAAAATAACTGCGAAACCAATTAATCGAACTATCGGAGAAGCCAAGATAATGAAATTTTGCGAAAAGTAGTTCATGGTTGAGGCAACCAAAGGCCTTACTTAGATCCAAACCGGAATGAGGGACGCAACAACCAACCACGTCATCTAAGGGTATAGTCAAGAAATGAGTATGTTCGACAGTTCATCCGACGGCGCTGAATATCACATCAATCGAAACGACATGAATCAAATAACCTTGTAGACAATGGAAGTCCGAGAAACAACATCTCAATTATGATATACTGTATTCCTGCGTCCAAAAAGGCATTTGAAAGATACTAGCGCCATCTACGAGACCGTATCAGAGTGTAACAAGAATTTATAAACCTACTTTGAAGAGTTATAGTCTGCTACTGTTTCATAAATGGCGCTAGGATCTTCAGTGCTTTTAAGCCTCTCTTGTGCCTATTTTAATTGGGTATCCCCCATCTGGAATATGTTAATGCCAGTACATTTTGAACTATGGAACATATTATCATTCTCAAAATGAAGCGCTTGTGTACTAAGCCAAAATTCAAGGCTATTAACATTTGTAATATGACAATAAAACAAAAAAAAAATGGTTTTATAATGTATTTATTATATATTAATAATGAAACTGATTCCTTGGTTGTTTACAAAAAGGCCTTAGGCACGTTAATTGAATAACAGGTTCATCATCCAGGGTCTTTGGATTGATCTCCTTGCAAGGCGGTGGCCGACGTAGTTTCCTACCATGACAGCCCTTCTTTCGTTGCCACAAGCCTGATCTCGGTCGGTTTCCTAACTCCCGATTTCTTTGTGCCGAACCAATTGGAGTATTGATATGATCTATGTTGCTTAATCTATAAAAAGAATCAAAATTAATAAATGACTGCCATATTAGGCAGTGGATATTTCCACAAGATTTTCTATCTCTTTGAAAATACAAGTAATTCTCTGTCTTCTGGCTGATGCCAAAGGACTTACAGTTGTATTTCACTTGAAACTCCAAAGTTAAACTTTTATTTGATATTCCACAGGTTGAATATGAAGATGAATGTGATAAACTGTCTAATATTATGCCTGTAAAATAGGAAATTTTTTGTTGATATACCTTCCAACAGTGCACATACAGATAGCAGGTAAACTAAATTCTCTCTTGGAGGGCACTTGAACCACAACTCTATCCCCAGGAGCCTTACGGACAATAGTAGCATATGTGCCAGCTGCATGGACCAGGAACCCACCCAATCCAGGGTACTTTTCTATGCAATGCACTTGGGTGCCCAATGGTAATGCTCCTAATGGATATGCATCACCTTCTTTGGCTCTTACTGAAAACAAATGATGTCAAATACATTGATGCAGTTCTCCCATACATTTGCATTTTTGATGCCAAAATTTCTAGAAGTTTTTTACCACATTCTCAGAAGTTATAAAAATGCAATAGAGATTGAATTTAGAGGGTGTTGCATACCAGAAAAAGTTGTAGAGTGTAAAGAGTAAATGGTTATACTCCAGGACTTTGTTTTTAAATAAAAATAATTTAAAAAAATATGCTTGTTTAATGTCTAAATGTATTGGAATTATGTTATATAAATAATATTCTTCTCGAGCTTTTCTTCACAATATGACATATGAAACATGCAAAACTAAGATTTTTTGAACCATATTATTTAACAACTCAAAAATGATTAAAAACATGAGATTTCATAATATATAACATACAACATTGTATTTTTTGTTGGTATTTTGAACTGGGAGTATGATCTTACCAGGTATTCTGGGAATATGACTAGAAGTCTTGATGACATCTCCAGGCTTCATATTCTCAGTAGCTAGTATATATCTTAATTTGTCACCCTGACCTATAAGAGCAACATGTGCTGTTCTACAACCATCTATGATAATTTTTAGTACTTTTTCTTCCATTGGAGGCCCCTCTGTAGGGCCGAAACGTTTCCAGTCTATCCAGTGGTATTTGTGCTTGATTCCACCACCTGTCAATGAAAGAGTTTACAAGAAAAATATTTCTACTAATAATATTGATATCAGAGACTAATTATATCACACAAGTTGTTGAATTTTTGAGCAAATATCTATATCTCTTGAGATCTTGGCACATCCTGCGAGAAGCTGTGATGAACAATAATGTTTGACACTGCATAGTCATCTGCAGGGTACACAGAGGTGGCTCAACAATGACACATATGATGCACAGTGTGACAGATCTTGGGAGGCAAGGAGCCCCTGAGTATTGTAATTGTATTTTGAGAAGAATCATGTTCAACCCCCATGCTTCCAAATTCCACAACACCATAACAAGGATGAAAGAACTTATCCAGATGTAATTGTGATCCTTCAGGGTCACTTCTCCAAAGTTTTTGCTTCTAGTCCTTCTAGACCTTCAATCCACAACTGAAGATACACATTTTAGATAGTCCATTATGTCATGTTGTTAGTAGTTTTGTTCATGAGTAATGTATAAGACTGTACTTACCAATTCCTTTGACAACCATTCTTCCCGTCTTCGGATCCCTTCCTGCTAAATTTGTTACATCCAAAGGCTTAACTGTATAGTTCTCTGGATAATGTACAATTCTTCTAAAGGCAATCCCATGTCCAATCACTGGTTTATCTACGGGTTTTGCTTTGTATCTCACGCGACCTAGACTATTTACTGTATTTTCTAACAAGACTAAGTTGCTTAACAGTTTGCTCAAATTATTTATAGTCGTATTCATTACGACTAATTTATTTTAACTTCCAGTAAGAAAATAATATATACAAAATTGGAAATCAAAAGTGTGAAACCAATTAATTTTGAGTTTTGAGGTTAGGTTACAGGGTACGTGTCATTTGTCTCATTATGATTCGAATAGTGATGGGCATGACCTTGGAGGTCGAATAGACGAGAAAGATTCATATACGAGGGTCGTGGCAAGAGTAGAGTTTACACTATTTTTAAAGTGGTTGGCGTGTGCAAGTTGGTAGTTAGTGAATTTACTAAAATTGCAATGAATCAAAACTAAGCTATTTGTGATGGATTTATTTACATTTTTAGGATTTCAAAATAATAAATGATCTTCTAACGTGTCATTAGAATTAATGTATGAACTTTATTTACAAAGTAACTAATAAGGGTTTCATGAAAGTAGTCACGCATAGTATCGTAATAATTATGATTCGAATAGTAATGGGCATGGCCGTGAATGTCGAATAGGTGAGAAAGATTCATATACGAGGGTCGTCGCAAAAGCCTTTTATACTATTTTCAAAATGTGCAGTTAGCGCGAACAATTTGGTAGTTAGTTGGTCACAGTGAATTTACTAAAATTGCAATGAAACAAAACTGAGCTATTTGTGATGCATTTATTTACATTTTCTGGATTTCACAATAATAAATGATGTTCTAACGTTTCCTTAGAATTAATGTATGAACTTTATTTACAAAGGACACTAATAACAAGGGTTTCATGAAAGTAGTCACCCATAGTATTGTAATAATTACATAATATATAATATAAGCGTACATAAAATATATACATTGATGAGAAATTTATAATAAAATTAGTTATGCATGTGGAAAATGCGCACTTTCCTTTGGCCTCTGGAGTCGTTGCTGTCAGTACTTTGAATACTGTCTTTTGAGTCGTATCGCTGAATTGAGTTTTTCAGCGTACTCTGAAAACAATAAAAAATAAATGAAAGCAAAAAACTAATTTCGTTGGGCAAAATTTCCATCTTTGTCTTCCGCTGTTACAAGTTATCGAAATCTGGTACAGTCAGAAAATTTATTAAATTGAAGAAGTAAGACAAAATCGCGCACTACTTACAAATTCTAGTTCCTCAGGATTGTTCATGTAAAATATCAACAAAGCCTCAAATAGTTTTGTAGCTTCAGCGGATTGGGTCACTATATCCTTCACTGTACTCAAATCCGTTCCTTCTCCTAAAAATACCAATTTATGTTTCAATATTGTGAGACACAACTTAGAAATCAATATAACAAAATATAGAGAGATGACGTGTACCATATAGGAATTAAAATGAATAAAATAATCGAAAAATATGTAAAATTATGCGAAGTTATTGTTACCTGCAAATATTATGGTAGGACCCCAGCACACCGCCAAGTTGTAAGTATCCATTTTATTCTGATCTTTGTACTTCACTACCTCTAAAAGATGCCTTACCAGACACTGTAGTGTTTCTAAATTACATTTTGGTAACTGGGATTTAATTATTGTTCGAATCTCATCTTTTTCCTTTTTTGAATACTGTTTGTCTCCACCTGAAAAAGTAAAAAGATATGTCCCATTCAAAAAATGCATTTTCTATTATCTATACAATTTTCAGTAGCACATAACATTCAGATTGACTTGCTATCTTTAAAATCAGTAGTTGGATTGAGAGTACTATTTTTGGCTCTATTTTTTTCATTTCCAAACTAAGCTTTGTCAAACTAGTAACATAGCGTTGGTCGATTCGACCACACACGCCCAACTCCGTGGGTAGCTGCTTTGTGCTTTTTGACCCGGCCAGGGCCGTCCTTAGGGTGGAGCAAGTGGAGCGGCCGCTCCAGGCCTCGCGCTGAGGAAGGCCTCGCGCTAAGAAATAAGTAACAAGTTTTGTTTGAATGAAAGTAATATAATAATGTTCAGATATACGTGCCTAAAATATCTGTTTGATTACTCTCGCAATACGTTAAATTATTAATTACAAAACCCACGAACGAGATAATCATGACCAAAAGAATGCAAAACATTGTTTGGTAGTAGCGGCAGAGTAAACGGTCTGTACTGGTCGTCCTGAGGACTTCATAAAAAATGCTAAAACACTTTCTTGCACGGTGTTAGATGATTTCAAGAGAATGTACTTCTTACATAATTTGTATTAGTATATTCTATGTTGATTCAAAACTGTCACTTTGTCAGGCACTGGTAAAGAAATGGGTCAAAGGTATGCACTAAAACTACGAAAATTTGGCGATAAACAATGCAATGTAAACATATAGACTTTGGCTCCTTATCTCTTCGAATTACAAGTTGGTTCCAATAGACAGCTTGTTGTTTTACTCTCGCATTAGTCGTTTCTGGTAATAGGTAGAACTTTGTGCTTTCTTATTTCCAATCTTTGTCACTTACCCATAATGTTCAGTAAGCTTTCGCACGTCCTACAGGGTATTAGAGGTTCTCTCAATTCCCTGAAGAATAACTTCAAACAACCAGTCAAAACATCTGGATCCCTGACATAATTATCCAAAATATCTAACCGTCCTTTATCCACTTCGAATCTTATTTTTTGTATTGTTGCCAAGTTCCCTGATGTTCTGTATATTCCTACGCTGAAACATTTTTTCTTTTTCGTAAAGCTGACCAAGATATTTATACATCTATACACCATTAAACCTCATTTATCTCACATCAAAACAAACATGAGCTTATGATAGTCGCTTCTAATCGTTAGTCGCTGCCTATACCAGGCATTAATGGCCCACTGGCTAATATGAGTCCGCGCATTTGAAATTTGCGTGCCGGTGTTTCTTTTGACGTACAGTAAGTGAGATTTGAATAAATAATAGATAAGTTCAAGACTTTATTCCAATTTTCAGTATTGTTAAAATTTGAAATTTACAACCGAATCATATTTAATGATAACTGAGACTGTTATACTATTTCTCAATTTAGACTTATGTACCTGCAAATGTTTTCTGGCAACTCTATCAGACCCATGGTTTTCAAAATGAATCTAGGTACGTAATATTCTACAGCAAAAAGATTGCTAAGCGTATTGCCAAATATTGGTTCGTTTTGGTATATTCCTTTTTTCTCTAGCATCTCTCTACTGGCACGTTTGCCTAACAGTCTCAATAATGCTTTGGTAATCGTTGATTTGTTATCACTACCTGAAAAAAAAAATATCAAAAATAGCGTACACAGGTTATTTGGAGTGAACAGTCTAAGACGTATGAGTATTTCAGTATCTTATTTAGAAAGTTTAGACGTCTTGGTCAGCAATTCCATAGAAGTACTCGTACTACAATGACACTATTGGAGAAGATGCTCACTGTGCCATGGAATTTCGTACCCGTTTGCGCATGGCGTCACTCGGTAACAAATGTTCCGCTCCGTATGAAATACTTTGTATCAGATCGCTTTTTTTCCTAACATTTTTTGTATCACCAGTTTTACATGATAATTTTAGTATCAAATAGATTATAGAATATGTTTTATATATATTTTGATGTTTTGCCAATACAATTTAATGAAGTATATCATTATAGAGAGAATACATTGCCCTTGTAAAGTAATCACTTTTGAAAAATTAAGAATAGCCAACTTGGAGGGTTCTATATAACTTGACACTTAATCATTAATTTGACGTACAACTTGTCAAAAATTAGAACAAGTTCTTAATGGATTTATTTGACGTCAAATTCCTGTTTTACACTTTTGAAATTGGCGATGAACTCAATTCGTGGAGAAATCCGTGGATTTCTGTCAATGTAAAACGGGTGTTACTCAGTTTAACCTCCTATCTCTAGTTTTCGTGCTCATCGTTCGACTGACAGGATTGTCAGACGTTCGAGAAATCTCGTACATGAACGAGATTATAAGCTTCTGTATAAGATTCGAGATTAATACAAATCTCGTGGACTTTGGTACGCGATTTCTAAAATGATGACCTCACAGTCAAGACTTTGTAAATAAGGAATAATAATGCATGCTAACATAACCATCGCATGTAAGTCGATGTTTCAGATACATAGATATATCGTCTGCATCTCTACCGATGCTTACTATTAGCTTTTTCGGTTGGTCCGGTTAGTCTGTCAAAAATAACCACGTCAAGGATTCTCAACACAATGCCATACTGATTTTGTTGATATCAAGACGGAATATGTTTATTGCCTTGTTCTAGCTTCAAAAATACACGATCATCTAAGTAAATGTTACTCTGAGTGAATCATATCAACTGTTAATACTCCCATTTTATACTTCCTAATTCATTATACTACAGAATAGCAGACAGCGCGTTGACATTTCGTAACCTGACGGTCATAGTTGACCGAACATCTGACCAACCATACCAACTGAAAATGCTTTAATTAGGTCATTATTATTTCTGTGGCAAATAGTTAAAAGGGCATACGTTTTTTTTTAGACTTATAGGAAATTAACTTGAGGTTTTTGATTGTAATTTTAATGACCTTTAATACACATAACCTCTTGCACAATTTTACTGCATTGTTCTGATAGTCGCCTTCTGGACGAATACATAAAAATATCACATATTGAAAAAAATTACTTATGACCTTTTAGCTATTTACCACAGATTTAAGGTTATGTTTATGACTTCTTTATTTTTATTTTGCAAGAAAATATTTATGGCGGACATACCACCCTAAATTTGTTGGTCTATTACACCTTCTACCTTCACTTTTCATTTACTACCAATTTATTCTGTGTCTGTGACAGCAGACAACGCCATCCATTCCCCCTCTTTGGTCCATAGGCTTCTATGAACTCTAGTTCTCCTTACGTAACCGTGTACGACATTATGTGCCGAGTATAAGCTAACGCATGCTAACATTGCGCGGATATCTCTGTACTCAAAGACCGCCGCATTAACATGTGAGGTACGAGGAGTTATGGACCCTTTTTTATTTTGACCATTAACTATCGGACGAAAAAACTATTCGCATCGAAGTTACATCCTCCATACCCCCTAAAGGATTTGGTGAGTTTAGATTAGACTATAGATTCCTACCTATATACTGGCTCATTTTGTCATTCTCTATGAATGCCCTGGCATCTTTGGACGAGTCGAAATATAGCACGAATATCCTGTTATTCACATCCCTCAGTTCGATTTCACGTTTGCTGAACAGTCTTGCCGATTTTAGTATCACATTGGCGTAGAGGATTTCCTAAAAATTATGATTCAGTAGATGAAAGGTGTATTTTAGGTCCCTTTACTATTGACCTACGGGAAACACAATTTGCTGCTATGGTACAAATTCGACAATTCACAAGCCGTTTTTGAAGTAATAGATTTAATGGGTATGGTCGATTTCATGTAAAATATCTGTCAAACTAGAGAAAAATTATATGATTATTAAAAGATGGGCCCCTAATTCCCATAGTAAATCAAGAAATACTGCAAAAATCTATTTTTCCATTTGAGTCCGCACACAAAATTTGTGGCTGTGGCACAAACTCTATCAATCGGAAACAAGTTCCATATCTGCCTTGTACATAATATAATCAAAATGAAAACAAACATAGATACCTGAGGAAATTGTAAAAAGGATATGTTGGTTGTTAATTAGGTTCTATTGTGATAATATGTTCTCTTTCTAATGAGAAGAATGGGTAAAATAAATTATCTACTCGCCGGTGCCTCGACTACGAAGTCATTCGAAATCGAACCGCAGGAGACACCGCGATCAGGGTTGAATTTATAAATAAGCTTCTCGTCAAACGAAGCACGAAAGGTTTTCTCCGTTTCTCTGTATATTGACAAAGAAACATACGTTACTTTACTACTTTATTATAAATAGGATAATTGAGAATATTTATCAGTGCGCAAGGCATAACGGGAAACAGTGATTTATATCTACAAACTACAATATAAGGCAACTTAATGAACATGTTGAATTGTTAAAAATATATCCTTTTTTCAAAATCACCTCTCTCAGGTAAGTTGTGACATTGTTATTTCCAATAAATCAGTAAATCCTGACATATTAATCTAGATATTGTATCAGATTTGGGCCATGCCTCGAGACTGGGACAAACCCTTCTTTTGAGATTGGTGTACTTTGTGCCCATTTAAGATCTAAAATTGCGTCAAAAGTTGTTTTAGAGTTTTTCAAACAAATTCATGAGGTTTTTTTCGCTTCGGTCGAAGTTTTTCTAGGTTTTTTGATAATAAAAAAGATCCTTATAAGGCTGTCTCTAGAGTTAAGAGTTGATAGTCACCGAGATATAAACGATCTAATATTTAAAAAAGTGCAAAATGTACCAAACAAGCAAATCGAAAAACAAATTGAAAAAATTTTAATGTTGCCAAAGTATCTAAAACTTCTTCAAGTATTTATTAACAAAACTCAAAGCATTTCAGGGGGTATAATGTTATTGGTACACCTTTGTTGTTTTTTAATCAGAACTGCTTTCCAGTGACCCTGTTGCGTTACTCTGAGTAACCAATACCACTCCACTGCACGTTGTATTCTGATGCTTTGTTTCTGGAGCAGTTCGGGAGCGTATCACTCTCAAACCAAAAAACCACTGTTATGGTTGTTGTAAACCTTTGTTGTTTTAAGAACTTTGGCAACATTAAAATTTTCGTAGGTTTTTTCGCGATCGAAACTGGAACATTTTGCACTTTTTCAATTATTAAATCGCGTATATCTCGACAACTGTCACCATTAGATAAAGGTCCATCAGAAAATTTATTGTTAAGAATGCCCCAAACAACCCAATTAAGAGTTTGCAGAAGCAATTTTTTTTTGTTTTTTTGAAATTTATTAGGAAACTTGATTGAACAACGTTGGCGCAATTTTGGGCCTGGAAACATGGAGATTCGTAAAAAGGGTCCTTTTGTATAAGATTATGCAAAAAACTGAACCAGAGTATTTTTCCGAGCGAATACAAAATACTTCCTGGAGTAAAAATTAATTTTGAGACTAATTACCCATTACAAACAAAGCTCATTTTTTCGATTAAAACCTATATTTTTAAACTTTACCAAACTTGTAAACGTACGAAATTTCAATGACTAGTTCAAAAAATCATGATTAAAATTGAAGAAAAACACGCCATAGATATTTCAAAAATCTACAACATTCTTACCCCTGTTAGATTGTTTTCATCAAACTTGTAAATGTTCTCGTGTTGATATTTGATTATTTCGTACTTCTTTAACTTAACGAAAGTCTTATTTGGTAGTTGCATCTTCGAACAGCCTCTGATATCGAAATCTTCACATCTGGAACATTAAAAATACGTAGTTACGCAATCTGAGAACCATAAAAATACATACGACATCATGTTCAAATGGTCGATGTGATTTCTTTGTGTTATGTATAACTAAAGTAATAAACGTTATACGACTGCAAAAAGGAAGTAGTAGCTTTTGTTTTTCTTAGAACTTAAGATATAATCGATATTTCTTACATTTAACTTCGAAATCTATGAATGTGAATATCTGTCCCATCTGTCAGCGTCACGTTTGAACTACGATACGGGTTTTATGCACGAAAATATACCTTCAAGTAGAATACGTTGATAAATGCTTAGATATGATTAGTTTTTCTACACTGAGAAAACGCGGTCAATCAACCAGTTGTTCTGAAAAAATTTGATTACCCGTGATAATTTTTTTAATTATCCTAAGTAACTAAATTATTTTGTTTTAGTAAACTGAATTTTCTGGAACCTGCTTAATTGAAACTAATATACTATTAAACTAAAATGCTTGAAAATAGCAAACCATGTTACCTGTTTTATAAAACTTTAATTAGTTGAGGTAGATTAATTCAAGTGAAAAAGGTACATTTAAAACAATTTTAATAAAAGCAGTTGAACTGTATCGTCTACTCGACACGACTCGACCCTTCATTCCGCGATGATCGGGTGAATGCGACAGACATAGTGCTTGTATCGCGCTTCGAGCTACTCAGTTTCATTTGTGATTTTCGTGAGGAGCTTCATTTTCGAATGTTGCCGTTGTTGGTGTAGTATAGCTGTGAAGTGGATCAATTATGGTGATCAAGTGAAATACTCAAGCATAAGGCCATTATTGACCATAACCATGGTTAGAGTATCTTTTGCTCTCGATGAAACACTCTGTATAGGGAAGTCAATCCTGACGTGACGGGATGGGAAGAGAGAGAGAGAGAATTTTATTTATGCATCCATATTTAGGTCAATGAAGGGCCTTTAACCAAACATGTGCTTAACATAGGCTTGTTGTACTTTTCTTTTATATTGTATAATGCATATATAGGCAGTGGCGCCGCCTGTTGGTGCAGACTTTGTAGCATTTGAAAATATCTTAGTTTGTCTAAAGTGATTTCGAATTTATTTATTTGATATATCTTATTATTAGAAATAATAGGAGGACGATTTTTGTACACATGATCAAGTATTTTTCTACACAAGATTAAGTGGCCTTATTCAGTTTCAGGTATCGCGTTCCCTACTTCCTGAATTTAAAACAAAGAATTGTTTCTAGTGAAAGCTGATATAACCTGTTTCTTGACAAATTCCGAAGTTTTTATTTTGATTCATGGAGCTATCAATATCAAATTTTCGGATATTTTTGTATCTAATATTTTTCAGAACCTAGTTATAATATACGTCATTCTACAAAATGCAATGTATCTTTTAAATACCAAATATTATCCAAATATCCTCTTAAATAAAATAATTCATTAAAACTAGGCAAATACTCCTACCTAAAATATATAAACAAATTTAATAAATATAATTAAATTGTTTCACTTGGAGCAGATGAACTCTTTTTAATAGTTCATTCTTTTTGAATAAATCTGTGTACTCAGTCAAGTAAACGGCTTAATACATTTAATAAAATGATTGTGTTTTGGTATATTTGAACTAGTTTCATAGATTCAAGTAAACTCTAATTAAACTGATTGAAGTTGTTAGCTGTCACATAGTTGAATGAATTTTTCAATTCGCCTAATTAAATATTTTATTGATATACTATTCGTCATTGTACGTCAGAGTCGTCCGATGGACCTTTGCTCTTAGTTAAAAGTCTCGTCGGTATATTAGTCTGCCAGGTCTTGCTACCCATATACCAAACATATTCAAGCGACATTTTATAGATTTGCTTAAATTTTTTTCTCAGCGTAGCTTAAGCTAGAATTACTTTTTTGGCGCAATCGTTACGGACCATTCTGTAGAATACGAAAATTCTTCAAGTAACTTCTCAGTACCCAAAAGGTCCTTGCCTTCTGTGTTTCTTAGAAAGAGTTCGTAACAAAAATTCCAAGTTTTCGCTATCGAAATGGGAATAAATCCTTAACACTCTTGAGTTCAATCTGAACTCACCCGGTATACATAAATTCTTGCAAAATACAATATTAATTATTTTGGTTTCCACATAAGCCATTATTTGCTAATGAAAATGATATCCACCTAACGGTTAGTCCATGGCCGTACGAGTATAATCAAGCTATAAAGACCGCTTAAGCGTTTTCTCGTTTTAATGTTTCAACTGGAAAAGGACACACTGGCTGCTGGTTCTGCGTAATCTCAGATGCGATGACACCATGTCTGGACTTACTAATTTCATTTACACATTTGTGTACATATTTACATCACGAGAATGAAATCACATATCTAGAATAGTACCTATCTATTTGATCGAAGAATTAGAAAATCTAAATTTAGTATCTGGAAGCTGAAAGATAATGTTCGGAGATTTATTGACGGAAAGAACGAATTTATAAAAATATTTCAGTCCGGGTACCGTTTTTAAGTAACTGTTAACTTTCGTATTCGAGGCTCTTATTTTCTTTCCTCAGTTTTCACGTGAATATCCAAATGCAGGGCAAGTGGACAAACTGTTTTTTATACCGAAGTAGCCGCGTAGCCAGAAGCTTAAATACCGGGGCGCCTCAACTGCTATTATAAGGCTATTAAAGACACTTTGTTAATCCTATTCTTATACCGAAGAAGCCGCACAGGCAGAAGCCTGAGTGCTAGGGCATCGCGGTTGCCTAAAGAAACTTTGTTAGTCCGATTTTTGAACTGCCTAAGGTTAGGTGAACTGGGAAACGCCTGCTCTTGTAGATTGTTTCACAATCTTGATACCCTAGGGACAAAGGAGCGGTCATATCGGCCAGATCTGGATGTACGGAGCTCGGCACGATTGGGATGCGAGGCGGGTCTGTCTGGCAGGCACATCGAGTGGCGGCATCATAGAGGCACGCTCGGAGAAGAAAAGCCCGTTGGCGTAGCAGTAGAAGAGAGCTAAATCGCCGACGACCCATCGGTGCGAAACCGTTCCGAGATTTTCGGTTAGAGAAGAGTCATCGATCAGTCGGCAGCACCCTAAACATATGAGAAGTACTTGAGGCTAGGCCTTATCTGGGCCTTGTACAGAATGAGGTCATAAGGAGAAAATAATTGCTAAGCCCTAAACAAATAGCCTAGCTTTTTCTCAGCAGCTGCCGCTATTGTTGAGATGTGTTCGTGCCAGATCAGGTCGTCAGTAATCTGGACACCGACCAGTCGAAATGAACGGCTCTTTGGTAGTGCTCGGCCAACCATCGGAAACGGATGAAAACTAGTACCTACGCTCCTTGTTCGTCAAGGTAGAGTTCTGCGTTTTGGATGTATTCAATTGTAACAGATTGTTGCGTCCCCAAGCAGTGATAACATCCAGGTCTCTCGTCACTCTGAATTACATGTAGAGTGCTGTCATAAGCAAAGCTGTGGATTGAACTGGCCGTACTTCAAAAGGATGTTGATATGTAAAACGAACAATGTCGGAGCCCAGATGGTACCCTCGGGAGCACCCGTGTTGACGTTGTGGGATGACGAGGAGAACCCGTCAATAACGATGGATATCTAGCGGCGAGACAGGAAGTCAGCCACCCATCTGCAAAGCTTCCCGGGGAGGCGATAGGAAGCAAGTTTTCAAAAGAGGCAGCATGCTACAGCTGATCGAACGCTTTCGTTATATCAAGAGCAACGGCATGAGCCTCACCCTAAGATTGGATGAGTTTGCTCCACAGTTGCGTAGAGTAAACTCATCCTCATCCTGTTAATTGCTGGTGCCGGAAACCATACTGACTGGTCGCTAATCAAGCCGTGACGTTCCAGGTATTCCAGAAGCTCCCGATTTATGCACCTCTACATTACCTCACTTTTAACAGACACCAGAGCTATAGGCCTGTGGTTGGGAGAGCTGATTTTAGATCCTTTTTTGGATGGGTCGCATATGAGCAAATTTTCAGTTTTCTGGGAAAGTACCGAAGTCGTAAGATATCTGGAAGAGACTCGGAAGAGCTGGAGCGGGTTCCGCTGCACATCTGTTCAATATCAAGTTTTCCAGTATTCGTGTGTTTGCTTTCCATGCTTTAATTCCATGTATTCCTCGATTTTGTAAATATTAAGGCGAATGGAACACGACCAATATTTACTCCGTCTCAGTATGTCCATTGATACTGACAGAATGATGTGTAAATACTTATCGTGTGACGTTTGCCTAACATCCTTTTGTGTTAATTTTGGGCATATTTTCTACCCTAAAAAAAGTATTGCATCAAGAATTTTTATTCACCACACTCAAGCAAGGATCATTTTTGAACACCCTGTATATCATATTCTGAAGGGCCAAATTGCCAAATCCCAAACCACCACACCTTCCCGCACCTAAAAAAATTAAAATCTATTCCAAGAAGAATGATACACGGAATACCCAGGTGTGTATAATGAATATTCGATTACTTGTATTCTGAACACATGTTGCTTCTTGCTAGCTTTAAGCTACTCCAAACAATAATACACATTATTTACAAAAAAATGAAATCAAGTAGAATGACTCTATACTTCGCTGCCTTCGTTGGACGTTCCAAAGAGAAGGAATGTGTGAAGTCGTTTCAAAAGGCGAAATCGAATCATGACTAGGGAGATTCACTTAGGTACAATGAATCTTCGACCTTTTCATATCAAATTATATAAAACAAATCTATCATTTTGTTTCAATGGCAGATGTAAGGAAAATATCTTGACTTGTTATGTCTAACAGGTGCATAGTATCATTGAGATCAGCAGAGTCTTAAACGAAGGTATTTCACTGACACCAAATATGCAACAATTTACAACCTCTACCGCATACAGCTTCCAACCTACCATTTTCATCCCCTCAAAACAATGTCTGAAAATGAGCAGGAATTTCTGAAACGGTGTAGCAAATGTTCCAGCGATTTTATTTTCGCCGCCCCTAAATTATCAAAATCTACGACCACCAAGTATTAACCTGGCGATAATATTCGCACTCTAGTTCACAAGTTTTCTATTGCTCAAAGATATCTGCATCTCACAAGTCCGTGTTTCTCATTTATGTCGTGTTGTCAGTCCGTATCTGTTGTATATCAATGGGTCATAAGTTCTAAATCAATCTAGTTGACGAAATACCAAAAAAAAACATCATAGAAGGAGTAACACAAATTAAATGAATAAATTGGTGGTACATTTAAAGATGATAAAATTCAGAAAAATATATGTGTAGATATATAGTTATCATTTACAAAAGCATCGGAGAACGCTAAAGTGGCACGTAGTCCTGATATCCAAATATTGATTAAATATATTGATATTTCTCCTGTAGGTGTGTGTCAGTGGCGACACTACCAAAGACTAGTTGGAGTTTGTTATCCATCGCACAGTCGGCAGTGGTCTTCACGACGATGCACCATCGCATAGTGCGTGCATCGCCAATGATTGCAAAGTTATTTAGAATCGTGAGCACATTATATATCGGACTTTTATCATTTAACTTTCCTGTTGTAACCGGTATTAGCTGCTTCTCAATGATAGAACGACTTTGACTGATACTAAAGACATTTAAAATGCCCTAGATCCCCCAACCCTCAAGTTTCAACCCCTACAAAAATCTTCCGAAAATGATCAGGAGCCTCTGAAACGCCAAAAAACGAAGTTTAAGCGATTGCCATTTTTTTTCGTGTTTTTGCCCTAGCTCCGCCACTACTAGATCATTTTCAAAAACTACAAAGCTTTTTAATCCTTGGCATAGCAGTAACCTTATGAAAATTTCATCAAAATCTGAACGGCACTTCTCAAGTTATAGGCAGTTATAAAATAAGCGAACAGGCCTACAGACAGACAGTCCCGCAGAGATTCCGACGGAAATGACTACTTGTGCAGTATTGCCATTCTATTTTATAATAGATTTAAATACCTGTTATAATTTGTGTGTGATACCAGATAAGGTAGATATATAGGAAGGTAAGTTTATTTTTTTAATTATGTAGGTAGATTGTATAAGATTTATATGTTTTCTTATTAAATGTATTCTACTAATTTTTTATAAAAATCTAATAAAAATCAATGTTTTTTATTATACAATTAATTTGTCTAACCTCACTGTGACACTGTGTATAGAAATGTTATTTTAAGGTTTATTCATTTATTTTTAATTTTCTTAAATTTTAAGTTAACTTAAATATATAAATAAAAATCAAGTTTAAACTGCGCATGTGTTTTTTAGTTTTGATATTTAAAAAGTATTAATATATAAATAAATTCAGGTATTCAAAACAGCAGTATTCGAATACCACTTAAAATATAGTATTCAGGATTTGTATTCCAATGCCGGATTTGAATATTCGACCCAAGCCTGTTCCGTAGGCTGCAAAAGGGAGGATAAATATTCTCACCATACATAAATGTCCAAACAAAAGTAATTATGATAAAAAAACTACGAGTGGTGGGCGATGAATTCATCCAAAAAGGATTATCTATCTGGAAATACCGCATTTATCTCTGATCAAATAAGAACTGCTCATGTTTAGAAGCCACAGCTGTTTTGTCGACGCCACGTTCTCGGTTACATCTCTTATCTCTTTCAAATTGATTCGCCTTGTCTGTCTTCTGTGGTATAACTATTCCTTGCTATAGGTATGCTGACTATTCCAATACAATTAGGAATATTAAATGTCTATGGAAATGAAGATATTTTAGTAAGAAAAAAAATGACTGTGGATTTAACGTTTAGACTTACGTTGTAACTTTCCCTCTGAGATCGAAATCGGTGGTTTTGGAGACACGGTACTTCCTGATACTGCTCTGTTGCCTGACCTCAATGTCCGAGTCAGGCTCTGTGTTTTCAGGAACCGGGAACGGGGTGAGATAGGATGTATACACTTCTTCATTCTTGCTTAGCTCTAAGGTTTTTAGTACCTCCTGAAACAATAAAAAAAACATAGTTATTTATACAGAGACTATCAAAAAGCTCCTACTCTACCCGCTTATTTTTTGAACGTTTACTATCTGTTGTCGCATCGTAATTTTTTTCGGTAGTAGGTATATTTATAAACTTCTAATTCCAATGATTCTACAAACCTATTAGGTATATTTCACACATACATATAATACCCCGGATCTTTGCTCTTAAGACCTATATAGAAATATTTTGTAATAGCCGCTCTCGGGCGAATGTCGACACGACGAATTTCTACCTGAACAGCTCAAAAGAGGTCAGGGATGCCCCGACGATGTAGCAATTGCGATTATCAGGGCAATATAATTTACTGAATATAAATCATCATTAACATTAAGGCTGCAGTTATTCAGGTGTGAAATAACGAAAAGACGTTCACAAGTCTTCTGTGAATATAAAGATATTTTGTGGAATGAAGAATGTAGTTGCCTCTCAAGCAAATAATACCAGGGTGTACTAATGTTGTCCTTGATTATTAAAAAAAAAATTCAGAATACTTTTCTCCAATGATATTCATTCTAGTACGGGACCAGCTATAAGGTTTTCCATAACCGACGAATAGTAAGCCTACCAGGAAGTAAGAAATTTCAGATGCATGATGCATATCCTCGTACAAAGTCCATATGTCCAGAATTGCCTGGGAAATTCAGGACGCCATTTTTAGCGAGTTATGTCACCCTAGTTGACAACATAGTAGTAAAGATGGAAATTAGGACTGAACTCTCAAATACAACATACAACATTAATCCATTGATTACACAGATCCACAAAATAAAAAAGTGTGCGCTTTGGGTCCCACTATGTTTTCCCCATGTACTGTTTCACGCTGACCATGAATCTGAAGTAAAAATTGTGGATCGTAGGACAAAAAAGAAAGTGATTCAGGCATTAAAATCACACATTTTGACATTTATGGTGGATGTGTTTAACTTCAGGGGGTCTCTGCACATCCATAACAAAATGTTACCGATACCTCCGTCTATGATGAGATAATAAATATCAACGAATATTGGGTGCCGCGCCCGGGATGCTGAATAGATGGTATGTACTTCAAGTCCACGCCGAATTATTATTGGTATTTCCAATAAATTATTATTATTATTAGTATATTTTCGTTTAGAACATTCGAAAATGGGATAGAACGTGCTCGTCTTGTCAGCTTAAGTGGTTTTTAATTTCGTGCAATTCCGAAATCGTGTTTATTGTGTATGTACTAAAAAAAAACAAGGAATGCCCTTGTGGTTTCAGTTGTTTGAAAAGTAAGAATTACGTGCGCCCTTTCGTGAACGTGAACCGACGCGGCGTGTAAGACGCGTAGTGAAACTATTGGTCGAAGCAATGTCCAACGGAACATGTAGCTGGTTATACGTAGAAATGTTTTTTCAGACGTGCGGTTAGCCATGTCCGGATAGATACGTGGCAAATCATGTCTGGCGTAAAAGAGAAATGAACAGTGAGATGTCTTTGGCGTTAAAGCGAAATAAACTGTAAGAGATCCAACTTGATTGGATTGGATGGATGTTGTATGAGTGAGTTCCTAAAATGATAAGTAATGCTGGATGAAGATAATGAGAAGGGCTAAGCTGGATACTATAATAAGTTTAATTCTGATAAGTAAATTACTTTCGTATTTGCCCATCTTCCCCCAATTTTGACTCGTCACTCAGCACGAGAAAGAAATTTGCAGTTTGTGTAACAATCGCATGATTAAATGGCTACAAAAGAAAGTAAGAATATCCATATCAATATTAACACTACAGGGATATTATGTTGATTGATGACACGCATGATTATTAAAGCAGAAAGTGTTTCTGGTGGAATAAAATTCAAACAAATTCTTCCTGTACACAAAACAACTAATGATGGACAATTAAGCATAAACGATTGAAGTGAAACTAATTGGTAGTGTCTGTCAGTGCAGAGCAGACCCCTCGTTTATAACATATAGTTATATCCCTGTTCGCATTCGCATTGTTAATATAACGATGCTACAAAGTCTTTATGTTTCGTTTCATGTTGATGATCGTACTGCTGAAAATACATTCAGTGATATTATGTATCATTTTATAATGTAGTGATGGGGAGCTTCCAACTTACAATCTGAATTTAGAACTCTGGTCATAATCGCTCAAGTGTAGCGTAACCCCATTTTGAGTGTAAAAACTAAAATACAAAAATTAATTTTCAAACATGTGTATAACATATTGAAAACTATTTTTTCCGATTAGAAATATGTAAGCGTTTAGACACTTGTTCCATCCTGCTGTTAAAACGTAGCACGCTGCTGTTTAAAAAGTTGCGATGAAGGAGCCTGATTATAGTTTAGATATTTTCAATCGGAACAAGTTATTGTTAAATTCTTAGGACGTTTCTCGACTAATCAGAAGCTTGTCTTAAAAATGTGTTTTTTCATTTTATTTTTTCATTTTTAGTATTTATGGTGTCAAATGACCAGTTTCATAGATTTTAATCATAGGATTCCAAAAATTTGTATCACAAAATTTCGAGAGATACAAATCATACAATGACAAATCGATATTTTGCGGCGATGCTCTTTCATTTGATACCCATATTATAGCAGTGACCATGGAAATTATGCTAATTATGTTTCCCTCATCAAGACTTTTCATTTGATTTCCATAGTATAGGGGCGTCAATGGAAATTATATTAGATTCAAAATGACGTTACATTGCTTGGTATATTTCTCTCAGCAAGTCTTTGCATTTGATATCCATATCATGGAGGTGAGTATGAAAAATGTGAATCGCCATTTTGGGGCGTTAGTGGTCGCCATAATGGATTTAGAATGACGTCACTTTGCTTATTGCATTTCTCTTATCATGCCCTTCCATTTGATACCCATTTCGTAGGGGTGACTATGAAAAATGTAAATCGCCATTTCAATGCGGCCGCCATGTTGGATATAAAATGACGCCGTTTTTCTCATCAAGCCCTTTCATTCGATATCCATTCATAGTTACTATAGAAATGATAAATCCCCATTTTGCAGCATCCGCCATATTGGTTTCAAAATGGCGTCACTTAATTAATTTAGTATTGTCACGTAAACCAACCGTGTGCACAAAATTTAAAGATTTTCCCCACACATACTAACAAGCAAACCGGACAAATTGAAGGAAACCTTGTAAAAATGTAACTTTTTGGTTTCTCAATGCAAAATTCCTATTTTTGATCCTGGCTACGAAAGCGCACGAAACTTTTTCTTGAACCACCACGAATGCTTACGGCCTAAGTGCCTGTAGGTACCGAGGAACTATAAGGGGATATGGGAGGAAGGAAGGGGGGACGTCGCACTGACTCTAGCGAGAGAACACTTGTGCATGTGGCATGCACACATTCTGACCCTAGAGATCCGCCGGGTGGTACTTCCACATATGACAGTCTAGTACAGTCTACCACCTAGTGATGTGCAGTCCTTAGCGTAATAGTAACATTGGGTAAATCCGAGTAGTACACATCAAGTATGTTTTATTTATTGAAAACTTTTTAACAGGTAAAAATAAAACAAAAGTGTATCACATTATTTGAGATTGTTAGAAAACGTGTATATCCCATAGGTATATCTAAAATGTGAGCAATCGTTTACGTATTTAAGTTTGGAACATCCATCTTAACAAAAAAAAATGACAAATCAAAAAACCAACAATATCGAAGCGGTTATCCATCCAAATACCAACCGTATCCGACGCTATTCAGCTCCGGCGATTGTTGTTTTTAATGGTATGAGAACGTTTTCTGTGTTATACTTAAAAAACTATTCCCGAAATAGTTTATAGAACAAGTACATTTCAATGAACATTACTTATTGCACTAGTTCACCGAAATGATCTAGAAATCACACATTTGGACAATCACAACATCCACTGCCAAAAGAAAAAATCTCTTAGGACGGGATTCGAACCTATGCCGCTCACGGGGACTGATTAATACACACGTAGCGTCCACCACTACGCCACCGCTACTGCCTAAATTGGCACACTTATAAAGGTAATTTGAGACGCTGAATTAGCAGTGACAGTGTAAAGGACAGTGTTGCAAAGTCTTATTTGTATTTTGTGGTTCTAAGTTGTATTATGATTTAATTGAGTTGTGATTCAATATTCATTATTTGGTTTTGCCCATCGCTATTCTACTCCGTATTACTATTAGTTGTGTATAAAAGGAAGTAGTTCACTGCGCAATATCCCAGAATTAACTAACCAGCATGATGATTAGCCCACAACTTATTTATTACATCATGTAATTAGAGATATTTATGTATAACGAGCAAACGAAAGCATTTGTTTTACCAAGTTGTGAAATTATTGAATCACTTAATTAACTGCATTCATCAACGATCATAAAAAAATAATTTTTTTTATAGCTTTATTTTGTCTCCGGCACAAAAAAAATAAATGACGTTTTCTCAACCTTCTTCACAAAAAAGAATTAGTTTCTAAGGATTCAACAAATATAACTATTCGTTGATATTGTTTTTGATATATTAAATTCAAAAAAATGAATACCTGCTGAATTTCAAAATGTTTAGCTCTCTAAAAATATCAGAAACTAGAAAACAGACAAACAACATACAAATATTGCGCTTAGGTTTTTGGCACACGGAGCCCGTAAACAGGTTCCCGGGTTAATGGGGACCCCCAAAATCAAAACGTCTAACACGGCCCTGCACATAAGTTACAAACAACAATTATTCCCAGCTAATTAGCAGCAATATTATTGGTACTTATCCAGTAACAATGATCATAGATGTATTATAAGCACCTACAAATTTAAAGGTTACCTACTCGTTTACACTTAAAAATCCATATAGCCGCGATAAAGATTGAGTAAAACAGGTCGCGCAAGATAACAAAAGAATAATGTGAAATTAATCATTTCTTCCATGCTTGCGTGATATTTTCCTCGTACTCTACTTATTTTCTATATTTTCACATAATTATA